ACAGTGTTTACATATTATCCTCTAAAGCCAGGGATTTCCCTGCAGAGCTGAGCACAAATCAATTGTATGTTTTGAATTTACATCACGATGTCAAAGACCCACATTTCTTGTTGCTTCCAAATTGCCATTTTAAATCCTGCTTTTCTTTTTCTGATCTGTTCCCCCATTTAGCTTTCAGGTAAGTAATGTTTGCATAAACTAGGTGAATTCTATTTTTTTTTAAATAATGTGCTTTCTTTTTTCTCCGTCTTTCCCTACCTTCCTTACTATTGATGAAGGAAGCAGGATGGGGAAGAGTACATTTTAAAATTTTTTAACTTGCTAATGGACTCAAATTAGTAACAAATAAGGCAAGAAACTGATCAATAAGATGTGGGCTGGGACAGAAAATAAATCTAAAAACTAACCACTTGCCCAAGTAACGTGGTACAGTAGAAAGACCATGGATTTTGGGTTTAGCCAGAACTGGACTATTAAATACGGACTCTTCTACTCATTAGCTGGGTGGTCCTGGGCATGTAATTCTCAGAGCCTCAATTTCACCAAATTTCTTACCATTAATTTGGGATAATTCCTACCTCAAACTTTGGATGAGAATTAAGAAAACATAGTTCCTAGCACAGAGAGACCTGTAAGAATCCTGATTCCTTTCAGTACCTATCACCAGTGTATGTGGGAGGGGGTGGAGGGAGGACACAAACTCTCCAAAATGCCTTCAGGATTCTTAATGCTTTTCTCTAGAAACAATAAAAACTGGAAAACAGCTCTGTCTCCTATAAGCTGACGTATGTATATAGCATAAAAAACTCTATCTCAATTGTTTATAGATTGTTTAACAATAATTCATAGGCAAGCTGGCTCATGGCTGCTGCAAAATCTCTAAGCAGTGTTACTTCATTATGCATAAAATCTCTTGGATAAACTTCAGTTTGAAGTCCACAACACAGTGCTCTACTCACAAGGTGTTTGGTGGACTTTAGTTTTCTAGAGAAGACTATGAAGCAGTTCCTCTGAATATGAAAGTGATCCCACTGGCACAAAGCAAATGTCAAACCACACTGGAACTTGCATACAAGGGAGAGGCCGCAGCGGCATGTTTAATCTATTGTCAGACGTGTCTTCCCTGCTTCACAAAAGGGTATGGATCTTTTTTTTTTTCCTTTTTGTCTTTTTTCGTGTCCGGCAACGGATCACAACCCTCAGTGTTGCGCCCTACCGGACCAGGACCGGCAACGGGATCGCGAACCTCGGTGCTGCGCCCGCACCTCGCTCAGCCAGTGAGCAGGAACCGGTCTGTATGTGGGATCCAACCCTTGGCGGGAGTGCCGCCGCGCTCCCAAGCGGCGCACTGTAGCAGTGCGCCACCGGGTCGGCCCCAAGGGTATGGATCTTTTAGAGTGCAAGGGCCGCAGATGCGAGATCCCTTGAAAGAATATTTGAATGGGATATTAAACCTGACCAGCTAGTTACTTCCTGGGAGCTCCTAGGCCAGCAGAGGAGCATTTAGGTGCCAATGACAACATGTAGGTGTTCCCAGCCATGAGAATTAGGTGTTCTCAAGTGGAGAGAATATAATGTCTCCACGAACCTTAAGAGTTCATCCTGTCAGTCCTCTCACTGTATTTGAAGAATGTTTGCTCAGTGACTTCCCTGTGCCTCTCCATTGTCCCTATCAAGAGAATCATAGATGCCTATTTGTACCCTAACCTTTTTTGGTTTTGTTTTGAATATCAGACAAACTCCTGTGGCTTGGGATAGACAATCTTTGCTTGAATATGTTTGTTGCTCCTTTCCAAATATTAAAGTAACTTCTTTAGTAAACTGAAATTTTGAAGAAACATTCCTCTTCCCATCCAAACTGTGTTGAACCAGTGACTGAATTTTGATGCATCATGCTTTAAACCATAGGATGATGGAAAGGACTTTAGAAGTTTTTTGGGTTTTTTTTTTTTTAAGAGATTTTAAAACTAGTCTCTTTACTACACAAAGTTGTTACGGTATTAGAGTACAGCTTTCCTGATTTAGTACTGTAGTAGGCAGTTTCAAGGATGTCCCTCAATGATCCCTGCCTCCTGGTAAACATGCCTTTGTGGAATCCCCTGCCCTTGAGTGTGGCAGTACCTAGTGACTCAAAAACAACTCAAAATTAGTTCATGATCAGATATGGCACTGTAGATAAAGTCTAAGAGCACTGCTTCAAACCTGTTCTATTCCACTGTATTCATCAGTCAATTCTCAAGCAAGTATGCTGTGACTGGACTATTGACTAGAACATTATGCCCATTGGCTTCTCATTTTTGAAATAAACTTTTCTAGACTGGATAATTAAAAACATAGCTCTATGTGTATTTTTCTATTTGGTTGGTCCTTCTTTCAGAAAGGTAGTCTTTATGGTAATCCCTTTGTAAGTCATGCCCAGAGCCATATCTATTAAATGTAAACCAAAATACTATACTCCTGAAGCCTGAGACTCCTGCTTTCTTAAAAAGCCAGAGCTACACTTACCCCTCGGCCTCCCTGGGGCTTTGAAGCACAACCAACCGCAGCTGAAGAGCAGCTCTTCCACTCTCTCCCCCACTCTAGGGAGTGGCTATCACTGTTTTCTGCATGCAGATTCTGCTATAAGCACAATAAAAATCAATGAGTACTTGGAACAGCTGAGACTAATTTTTAAAGCAATGCTGAGGCCACCGAAATTCACATTCTTGCAATCCTTAGACAGTGCCTCAAATATAAGTCACTCTTGGTCAGAAATGCTGTCCCATATGCTCATGCATACTGCTCTAGCCTTCCAGCACCCTGACCCAAACTCCCACCCAAAGTCTGCCTTCCTCCCAAATCCTTTCCTATGGGTACCCTAAAACCTGATTGTGAGGTAAAACCCATCCTATGTCCTCTGCTTCCTTCCACTGCTCAAATCCCTTGCTCTACCTATTGAGCCTGACTGGAAAAACTCCAGCTCTAGAGCAATTAACTTTCTGTCCCCCGTTTCTAAATCAGGCTGTATCCTGGAGATCAGGGTAACTATAAATTCATGGCCTCGGCTATTTCAAACCTTCTCTGCTCAACCCCAGTATCTTAACCTATGACTTCTTCCTTAACTGCAAGCGGAAACCCTATCTTCTAACTTGCTGAGAGAAATAAGTCAGTGCAGGGTTAATTCCCTCAACTTCTCTTGTCACGTCTTCGTCACCCTTTCTTCCAGTCCTTCATACCAAAAGGCATTTGGTAACTGGCAAGTCAGTTGCTAATATGACTTAAAGGAACATAGTTACTGAAATACTAAAAGACAAAATTAAAGTGTTTTTGCCTTCATTGTGGGACCCCAGGTGGCAGTGTCATCAGAGTCACACAGAGAAGCAGTAGGCACTTGCAAATGTACTGTTTGGTGGTATCAGATTACCCGTCTGATAATAAAGAACACCCATTTCAAAGCACCTTGACAAAAAGGATGACTGCATCTCATTACAATTTCCCTTGTTGCAAATATGGAAAGCGAGTTTTTAAATGATGGGGGTGGAGGGGGGGGATAGAAAACAAGATCCTTTCCACACCTCCTTCTCCCTTATTTTTACAGGTCAATACCGCACAGCCATGGGAGCACTTCTCGAGCCCTTCCACCTCTATTTGCCATGAAAGGAAATAGATCTGAGACTTGGTCAGGCCCATCTACCGCTGCACCCACGTCAAAGAGGATACTCCTTTATTTCAGAAGAAGGTAGCAGTACATGAGAATTAGTAATTTTGATTTTTTTCAGACCAAAAAAGTCTACTCCATGATTTAGCTTTCCTTATGTTTAAGACCCAGTCTTTCCAATTAAGATTTTTAGAGCTGAAATTCATTCTGGTTTTCTGTTTTGTTTTTGTTTAAAACAAAAAATAAAAAAAAGAAAAAGAAAAAGGAAAAGAGGAGGAATATGTGTAAGGTGGGGAAGGGGTATTTCTGTTGCATTCACTGAAATTTATAGAAGGACTCTTCAGAAGTCAGACTGAGGCTCCAGGGTTATTAACTCAAGAGGAAAGAAATAATCGGGCATCATGAGAAAGTCTGAAAAGCTCCCCGAGGGCAAATGCTGATAACTGAGAGCAGTTTTTTAAGATTTCTCTGAAATATTTTAAACCATTAATCTTTTTCAAAAAGTTTATTTTATTCCTAAAAAAGCAAAATCTCTATTTCTTTAACAAGGTAGCATTCAAACAGGTTGAGATAAAAATCATTCCCTTAAATTTGTCTTTGAAGTGGAAATGTGATCCTATGCAAAGCACTAAAGAAATAAAAACAAGTTCAATTGCCTTCTCAGATGACACATTTATAACCAAATGCATGAACTATAGCATGTGATCTCATAGGTTAGAATTACCCTTTCTGTCAAGGGCTCCTACCTGAGACCCATGCCTTGACAAAGAATGAATTACTATTGCTTTAAAATGGCACCTAATTTATATCAGTGGATCTTCAGTGTTGGCCTCCATTAAAAAGTCCAAGTAGGAAAAACATAATACTGTTCCCTTGAACCCAAACTGCCATTTGCTAAAATAAACTCAGAGTTATGCAGAATGTCATGACCTGTTATGCCCAAAGTAACAATATGCCATCCTTCTAATTATAATCTGATGCTATTTTCATACTTAGGAAAATTCTATAATTTGATTTTTAAGCATACACAGGCCAGAGGAATATCACTATATTACCTTAATAAAATCAGTCATCCTGTCACACATCCTCTGGTTTCAGTTAATGTTTTCTAGTGATTTATTTGTTAATTAACTGATTCCCCCTTGAATATAAGAAGGTGGGGACCTTGTAGCCTCAATGTCACATAGTGGCTAGCACATAGCAGGTACTTATTAAAAATATTTGTAGAATAAGTGGTTAACATTATTTTAACTCTGTTTTTGGTGCCCCCTAACCTATCACACTATTAGTAAACATATATCATACATATAACCTTTATTTAAAACAAACAGAAAAAGTCCACTTTAAATAATCAGGTATTCCATAAATTCAAGTGAATATGTTTTATTAAATGCATACTAATATCTTTCTATAGTATGTGAGTATACATAATAAATTAAAATGTATATATTTATTAAATATAGATAGATATAATACCAGAACATGATTATTTCAGATGAGAAATCAAAATAAACCCATTTTTAAGTATCTTTTGGTCACTCCAAATTGATATTGCTCATAAAAAAATACACAAATTTTCCCTGGGGAAAAAAATTAATTCCATAGCAATGTAGTTAAGGGACATGTTTTATTTCATAGCTTCTTGCAAGCAAAATTGCTTTGATACAAAATGAGTTCAATGATACAGGTGCTACTGTCCACTCAAGCAAAAGAAAACCTGACATTTATATGAATGTACTTTTTAATTATATTCTTACAGTATAATAGGTCTAATATCTGGGAAGCCTCGGCTTCACTTAAAGCAATGGCACAGAAATGCTGCAAGGTACTTGAATATCATGGTACTGGCAGGTGCTTGAAGGAACTTCCTGTGAGTTTTGTCAGATACTGTTAAAGAACTGTGTGTGGATGTGTCTATCTGCCCTCGATCTTTTAGCTTACACTTAGATCATCTCAAAATATATCCTGTGTGTGTCTTTCATCTTTTCAATTTCCATAAAAATAAGAAAATGTCATGAGGTATCCTTAGTGTTAGCTATCAATGTAGTGCTATGGCTGTCAGAGAGGATGTAGAACTTACCTGTAGGTACAGTAATTGATTTTAGTGTGTGCTCTACACGTTACAGTGCAGACATGTTAGTTCATGTTAAACTCTTTCTTCCCCCTCACATATGATGTGACTTTAACCCCAGAATATTTGACAAAAAATTTATACAGAAAAAATAAAAAGACAAATACACAAATAAGGCCATCTGCAGAATTTTAAACTCATCTCTTGCAATATTTCACAATAATTTCTACATCATATTTTACATTGTTCAAACTTAAATAATAAATGCTCAAGGAAGGGCCTTGGTGCAACCAATTGCACTATCTCTTGGAGGACTTGTCCAATTTGCTGGCAGGTGACTTCCTCTGGGGCGTGGGGATTTTGGAAGGCTTGGCTGTGGATGGCCGAGAACCTGCTCGGGGCATAGGTCTGTGTGTTTGGGGAACAGTCTCCACGTCTGAGCATATGGACTGGATTTCTGAAATGTCAAAGTCTGACGCATCACTGCCTCGGCGGCTGCTGGTTCTGCTGCCAGCTTTGCTTCCAGCTCGGCTTCCAGGTCGGCTGGGAGTCTTCTTGGCATCTGAGAACAGAAGGCAGATATGGGTCACCCTTACTATTGGGTCCATCTGTGACCCATTCATGAAACCTGATGCCACCTTTAATCATGCTTTTTTCCCTGACACCAAGTAAGCACTCAGAATACTTGTGGGTTCTTGGCCTTTGTCTATCACACTGGGAAGGCAGCCTTACTCTAAGTAGAAGTAATATACAAAAAGCTAGATTTACACACAAAAGGTAAGTTTGCGTTTACCTCACTTAAAACAGGTTTCCATTTATTACAGTCAGACATAAGGGAGACCCATCATTTAAGATTATGCTTCCCTAAATAAATAAATAAATAAATAAATAAATAAATAAATAAATAAATAAATAAATAAATAAATAAATAAATAAATAAATAAATAAATAAATAAATAAATAAATAAATAAATAAATAAATAAATAAATAAATAAATAAATAAATAAATAAATAAATAAATAAATAAATAAATAAATAAATAAATAAATAAATAAATAAATAAATAAATAAATAAATAAATAAATAAATAAATAAATAAATAAATAAATAAATAAATAAATAAATAAATAAAAAGAAAGAATGATAAAACAATCAAAATAATACATTGAACTTTCAAAAGGAGAGAACAGAATTGAGGTTACCAGTGGTGGGAAAGGTGGAAGGGGAGGAGGGATTAGCAAGAAATTGGTAAAGGGCCACAAAAAATGATTACATTGTGTAATGTTGAATACACTAATTATTCTGATTTGAGCATCACATATTGCACACAGGTACTAATATTTAATGCGGTACCCCATGGATATATACAATCAATTATGTTTCAATAAAAATAAATTAAAAAAAAAAAAGATCATGCTTCTCAAAGTTTAGCTGTGTACCCCAGGGATGTGTGCAGTGTACACATGAACCAAACCATTAGGTGTAAGTCTTGTCAGAGGACAGGTAATTCAAACATGTAGGAATTTAAAAGATAAGACTTAAAAATTTAAAGATGCTTCATGCTTGCTGGGCTCACAACACAGGGTTAGAAGGCACACTATCCTTTGAAGAAATGTGAGAAGCCCTGGTGTAAGGCCCAGAATGGCTGGGTTTTTTCCAACCACCCAAAACAGGGCCCTGTGCAATCTCCGAGCAGACAGAACAGCCAAGATCTTCCAGCTTGAAGTGGCAGGGGACTATTGTATTTTTTTCTTCTGTTCTACAGTCATTCTCTCATCTTTCCTAGGTACTTTCCGAAAGGGATTTTAAGTCACTTGCTCCCATGACTCATTTCTCCCCTACCTTTGTTGGAGAACTGGGGCTACATGTCATTTCAAAAGAATACAGCACTGTCAATTCACAATTTCTTCCCCAATAAGGAAGAAAAGGGACTTTAATCATCACACTGCAAAAGCCATTAAAGAAAGAAATGCACCACACTCACCAGCAAACTGTGTTCGGACTCTGGCAGCTGCAGTTGTTATCAAGCCACTGTCCTCTCCGGAGTGGAAGCCTTTCCCTGATAAATATCCTGGCAGTCGAAGCTTGCTTCCTTGTATTGGTGTTCCCTGTATTTAATCAGTGACAAGGCATTTTAAGACACTGCTCACATTCCATGGTATTCCACTGACACCACAAATGGGTGGAAACCCTATACCAGACCTCTTCAGAAGGTGCAGGGGAAGAAAGTTTCAATTAAGTAAGGCATGGGGTTCTCACTTGCTTTTGTCCCCCAATGTCTTATTCTCTCCCAGAATTCAAATTAAACATTCTAAAGAAAATGAATTCATTGTTGAAGAGAAAATACAAAAATGAAGGTCCCCATTGGGTACGAAAGTGATGGCAAAGGAAAGAAGACAAATTAAACCATGAGTATGTTAGTTTCTTTCAGACTGTCAGTGAATGTCAGAGTTAGAAGAGAATTGCCAAAAGGAGGGTGACCGCACGGCGTAGAGAGGGAATGGGCAATGAACACTTGTGCCTGGATATTCTGCTGCCTGCACTGCTTTTAGAGAACTAGGCAGAAATAAGCAAACAGAAATAGAATGGTTAGCAAATAAATAATGCCTAGGCAGCCATCATTTAAACAAACTTAGCTGCAAGAAGAAAAACAGTGACGTTGTATAACTTAGTACCACATCACATCACTTTCTATGCCTCTATCACTTTCTATGCCCCCTACATACAAGAAACACAGAAAATGTTTGGGGATGACTCTTTTAAAATTCTTATAGGAATGTGAAGAGAATTTCTAAAGCAATCATAATTACAAAATTTTATTATAAGTCTAAAATCATTGCATTTTTTCCCAGATCACTACAACATTTTGAAAATTCTGCCAAAATTAAAAAGACAAACAAATCTCTTGAAGAGTGTAAGGTATGTCATATTCTTCAATGAACATAGAGTTGAGGAGCTATTTGGAGGAAATGAGTTTGTACAAACAATATGTACAGTTTTTAATAATTAATTTGCCCTTTATTAGGTAGTTTAAAATGTTTATGTAAGACCTGTTGATACATCAGAGTTGCATTTAATGTAACAGAATACTCAACATTCACCTACAATTGTATACTATACACATACTTAAGTGTAATGTTTGTGTATGATTTGTATATATAGACTGCTCAAGTTTTCAAAACACTTTCACACACATAACCACAATTAATCCCCACACTCACCTAATCACAACCTTTTTACAAATGTGAAAAATGAGGGCCCAAGGAGGGAAGTGATTTATCCAAGATCTGATGATGTTGATCTAGTTAAAATCCCAACTTAAATATAACCCATGAGGGAGCGATGACCCAGAAATTACGAAATTTATCATTTAAGGTGGCAGAATCCATTACCATGAAAGACCAGAATCCTTCTTTTCAGAATGCCTCGCTTTTTAAAACTTTTATTGCTACAGACCCTTCCATAGAAGCATACTGTCATTTTGTTTGGTTGGTTGATTTTTGTTTTATGAGGTTATTTAAAATGAAACACAGTTTTGCATTAGTCAAAATAACATACTTAGACTTTAATTCTGGCAAGTTTCTACTTTTTAAAAATTTGAACTGACACAGCATCATAGCCCTAAATATTTAAAACAAACATTAATATGTCACTTGAAGTTCTTTAAACCTTTCTCAGTTTTTGCTACAATAGATAATAATAATAATCGACAGCCATCTCTACGTATAATAACCGACAGACATCTCTACGTATAATGTATAATACTAACATCTCTGACTTGGTGGGAAGAGGTAGAAATAAAGGGCTTGGGAGAATAAAGAGGAAAAAGGTGAAGAATGAGTTGTTCCTGTCCCAATTCTACCACTTATCAGCAACAGAATCTCTGCTGAGTCATGAGGTAATAAACTTTTCCCTGCTACCTCTTATTATTGACGTGCGGATTAAGCAACAGATAAGAAAGTGTGTTGAAAGCATAAAGGACTTTTTAGAGTCTCACAGGTTGAGTCCTACATGTTGAGTATTCCTTATCCAAAATGCGGACGTGCGGATTAAGCAACAGATAAGAAAGTGTGTTGAAAGCATAAAGGACTTTTTAGAGTCCCACAGGTTGAGTCCTACATGTTGAGTATTCCTTATCCAAAATGCGTGGGGCCAGAAGTGTTTCAGATAAAGGATTTTGGGGGGATGTTGGAATTTTTGCATGCTACATACCAGCTGAACATTCCTAATCCAAAAATCCGAAATCTGAAGTGCTCTAAAATCCAAAACTTTTTGAGCGCTGCTGACGTAAACGTCAAAGGACACGCTCATTGGAGCATTTTGGATTTTGGATTTTTGGATTAGAGATGCTCAACCTGTATTTTACTTTTATATAAGGATTCTGGCTTTCATATTACATTCTTGATTACTACAAAGAAATAATCAAGAAAGGGTATTTAGGGATTTTCCCTTAATTACTGTGATTCTAATAAAATTCGTGATTATTTGGTGACTATATTTATCATTTCACGGAGAAGTTTCTTAAACAGATATATGATTGACTTTGAATTGGAGGTAAATGATCTGACATGTATGAGTTAATCTTGGCAAATCTTATATCACCTGAATATCTTTTCCCCAGATATGACATATTAAAAAGCTACAGCATGCTTAAATATTAGTTATTAAAATCTAATAAAGATACATTTTATTACTTTTTGAAAATGACATACAACGTTTTGCATACCTACGCCCACCGCTGTGACTACCTGCGCTGGTAACTGGGAGCATCCACCCAGTGCTGCTGGGCAGAAATGAATGTAACAGACATTCAGAAGGACCATGCCCACAGTGAACACTCAATAACCATTTTCATTTAAGTGATTCTCTTCCAAATGATATTTCCTCTTCCTCCCGGCAAAAGGACACCATCAGCTCTAGAGGAAATTTTACTTAGATCTAGACATAATCTTCTGCAGTTTACTCTTCCAAGGGGTAAAAGTAGAATTAAATATGAGTAAGAACAAAAAAACGAAGGAGGTATAGAGCCTACAAGTGTGACTATGTTAAGATGACAGTGTTAAAGGAGCTGTCTTTTCTGTTAACCTCTTACCCTATTTTCCAAGCACTGCTGCGATGAAATTTATTTAATGGAAGTCTATAAAAAGAAGTAGTATTATCAAAAGTACATATGTTGAGGGAGTAGTGAAGCAATGTTAGTGGGTGATAGTTTCAATTAAAGGAGACTGTTAAGACTAGGATCTGGGGCCTTACAATACCTCTGCAGATGGCACGGGAAAGTCTGAGCACTCTGCTGGTTTACAAGGAGTTGACATTTTGCTGTTTGTCAACCATGGTTTACCATAATTGCGTGTTAAAGGATGGAGAATCTGTATGGAACAATGGCAAATCAAATGTAAAGGACAGCAGATAAAAAACAAAGCTACAGAAAAAAGATATTCATTGCAAAGAGTCACATTTCACAGTAAGAATAATAACAATTAAAAAATAAGTGAAAAGATCTGATGGCAAATCATATATAACAAAAAAATGAATGGAGCTTTATAAAGAAAAGCCAATCCAAAAGATAACAAAGCCTCTAGATAGATCATATCTATATGGGCCTCATGGCAAAAGCATATATATATTTTTATAATCTTTAATCTCCCATATTGTGAGAAGGGACACAAATGGAGACTTCTGGTCCTACAAATTCTAGGGACCTAAAACATTCAACAGTAAACTCTGGATACTGATGGCATAGGAGGAGGAAAAGATTCCACCCTCGAGTCATACCTTGGGTGTGCTGGTGGCGGGGACCTGTGGGGAGGCTGCCTGACCAGCCTGGCTGGACACAGAAGTAGATCTGTTGGGTGAAGCTCCTCGTGATGAAGGCCGGGATCTTCGGCCCCGGGGTCGGAAAGCAGCCATACCTTGACTGGCACCATCTGCTAAAATGAACTTCTCACGCAGTTCCATGTTTGTCCTTCCTTTAGCTGGATTACGCACACACACAAACACACAAACACACACACACACACAAAACAGTGCACACGAAGAAAAGAAGGAAAAGAAGAGGCACTCAATTGTTTATAAGAACAACAACCACCTGGCACCAGACACATGTTGAAAATTTCAAGAACATCTTTTTGCCATGCCAACTCCAACTCAGCATAACAAAAAGTTAAATGCATTCCTTTGCAATGCATTCCTTTTGGATACAAGTGAGTTGGCGGGGCGGGAGGAGAGTGTGCTTATTCTAACACTAGACACCAGCAAGAATAACCACTATAAAAGAAAGAGTCAGCATGAAAATGGAAAGCTCATGCTAAAATATTGTTAATCCACCAGCTACTGATGCCCACGTGGTTTCATTACCCTTTCACCACACTGAGAAGACAAGCCAGTAAGGCAAGGACTATGTCTTTTGCATGTACTATTGAGGTAAGGAGAATGCCAGTATTTTAACATTGGGATTGATTAAACAATCGAATTACACAGAATGAGAGATGGCTTGTTAGTCATGATGGCAACAAATAAACTTCCAGAGTTTTCACTTAAATGAGGCGGCTAGTATTTTTATTTTATGCCTTGAAAAACTGTTTTCCCAACATGCAATAACAAACACCAGACCCAAGGATCCGTGAGGTAATTCAGTGCGGCAGCACTCATACAAACACATGTGCACACGGAGAACACTCCACAAGAACCTGATGAGCAACGTGTTAGCATGTGTTTGATCATGTACACAACACCTGCATTTGCAACACACCCGAAGTGTGTCAGATTTTCAGAATTTAAATTTGGAAGCACCAGCTCAGTTGGACATGAGTTAAGCCATATGCAATGGATGTAGCATGTTATTTTAAAACAAATGATTAAAGCAAGAATGTAAAAGAGGAAAGAGAAAAGAAAAGAGGGGAGAGGCAAAGAGAGGAATTGCCAACCTATAGAAGGCTGAGTAGTAGTAATTGAAGAGTTTGATTCCGAACGTAACATTTTACTCCCATGATGATGAACTAGAAAAAATGACACAGGATACCAATCACATTAAAGAATACTGTTAGCAGAAGCAGAAACAAAGTACAGTAGTTGAATTGCAAAGGGTGCTCAGATCTGGCTTGTAGTATACGTTTTTAGAAGAAAAGTTGCATCAGGAAAGGAAGCATTCAAAGGTCTGACTTAATAAGAAAAATGTGTTTGATAAACTTTGCCAGTCATGCTAACTTTCCTAACCACCCAACAGAACACTACGCATTCTAGTTTCTTCGTCTCATAAACAGAGCTTCATTTTGCCTTAGGCTGCATTATTTTCAAAATATAAAACCAAACGGGAGCTTTTGTTCTAATTTTACTTTTCTCGCAGGTGTGTCTTTGGTCAGCAGATAGCACAGTGGCCTTGGCAGAAAGCCCTGCTGACTCTGACACACCTGCTTATTCAGAGGCCACCAGTGAAACCAACAGGCCCCACTGGATGAACCCTGGCCTCCCACTGGGTAGCCTAATAGGCAGCACTGGCACAAACATTTGTTGTTTGTTTGTTTAAAAGGAATAAATTGAGGGCCGGCCCGGTGGCGCACTGGATAGTGCGCCGCTTGGGAAGCGCGGCGGCGCTCCCGTCCGAGGGTTCGGATCCCACGTACAGACCGGTTCCCGCTCACTGGCTGAGCGAGGCGCGGGAGCAACACCGAGGCTTGCGATCCCGTTGCCGGTCCCCGGTCCGGTACGGGGGCGACACTGAGGGTTGTGATCCGTTGCCGGGCACGGAAAAAAAACAAAAAAAAAAAAAAAAAAAAAAAAAGGAATAAATTGATCTCACAGTTAAAGAAAACCATAACAATGTTACTGTTTGTTTTTATCAAAGTGAGAAAAATGGGCCTACTGAATAAGGGCTACCTATTTAGAAACTGCAATCAAATGACCACTTGTAATATATTAAGAATTCAAAAATTGACTGGGATCTGAAAATAGGAAAATTAAAAGCTAACTTCAGACTCTTGGGCTGGTAGATATGGAGACAGTTGTGGTATTACATGTTTATATTTTTAATATTTTAATGTTGTAATCTGCAACTTCAAAGTAAGAGTCTAAGTCAGCAGTTATTATTTTAAAAATTTTAAGTATTATTTTCCTCACCTCCCCCTCATTTCATAAAAACTTTTGACTTTTAGATTTTTACCATACAGTATTTTCAGTCATTACCTCAATTTTCTTTCCTCTTCCTTTGCTATTAAATGACAGACGGAATCCTTTTTTTGGTTTATTTGTTGTGAAAATCACAGATGAGAGGATCTCATAAAGAAAATGTTTTCTGGTATTTCCCACCCACCTGTCCCATATTTATCCAGAAGAAGTAAAAAAACAATGAGAAGAACATGATTTACATGACTGCCTCAAGTTCTTTAGGAACTTTAGGCTGACAGACCAATGTGAACATTCACTACTGGAGTAAATGACCAAAAGTATGCTCGGTATGTTTTCGATGCTGGGAAATAATACAAAACTGATATTTTTTCATGATGCTGTTATCCTGACATCAGTCTCTGCTTACCCCTGCATGGATCATTTTTCACTAAGAACTCATCCAGTGCCATCCATCCTCCTCCAACACGAACCATCACAGTACTTCGTAGGATCCGAACCAGTCGCAGTTGCTGGGAGTCTCCAAACTGTGCAGTGAAGAAAGAAAGAATCTCTAATTGTCAGTAATAATTCTAAACTAAGGGATGATGTGCAATCTGCAGTAGCTTAAGCAACCAACTTTAATTTCTTGCTTAGTTCACAGCGATTAGTAAAATCTCAGATAAAGGGGGTTTGTAATGATCTGCGTTAGACTGCCGCATGCTGATTTAGCCCAAAGGAAACAGTTGGGAAAAAAGATTACAAAAGTTATCAAGTATAATAGTAAAGCTTTGGTCTAAAAATCATTTTTCTTTCTTTATGATAGAAACAATATTAGTAAGTCAGTAATTGAAAAATATTTCTAGAAATTAAGCAGCCATTAAAATAAAGCACTGGTCCCCTTGCCCAGAGCTTATACAAAATAAGATGATTCTAAGGAAAATTGAATGAACTTTAATTCCTCTTCATTAAAACTACCTCTTACATTAAAACTGTTTTCTACTGAAATTTGTGGAAGAAATCTTCATAAACTCATTTTGTTTTCTCTAAGAGCAGTTTTGACTTACAGAGAATAAAGCAGTAAATGAGCATGATGAATAAAAATTTCACAGTAAACTAAAATCTCTGTATCCCTAAAGATCTGGTAAGACAATCTGTTAAAGGCTGGATTAATATGCCATTTTAGATTACTGTAATATTAGAACAGCCACTGATACATTATTAAGCTAAAAGGGTTTCTCTCAAAGCTATTTGTATCATAATTGTTGACACTAACAAGCAATAATATTTTTCTTGCCCTTTCAATGACTGGATCTCTAATTACTTGGATATGCTACAAATTCTGCAAGTCCTGAATAAATTTCTAGAATAAATTTCTGAATAATTTCAGGTAGTGCCTGATAATAGGTTTATTTGTTTTTAAAACCTTTGAGAAATGATTTTATATTTTTAAATCATTTCTAATAGGCTTATGTCCAACTTATGAAAACCAGCATACTGGATTTCATGGTTGTCAACCCAGCAGATAACAAAGCAAAATAACAATTAAATAGAAATAGCTTCTTTTTAAAGCAGGTAACAAACAACTGTGACTTTGATTATTTGTATTCATTACAGATAAGCACAAAACTTTAAATAGAAACAATCTGCGACTTTTCAATAACCTTTTAACACTGATTTCAGGAAGAGAATCCTAAAACAACGCAAACCAATTCCCATTCAGTATCCTAAAACTCAGAAGGACCTGGGAAGCATGTAAAATGCACCAGCAGGAATTCATGTGTTTTCCATCAAATCTCTTTAAATAGCTGTCTCTAAATCTGATTTTAAACATTGAGACCTAAACTTTCCTATAATTGGACCTGCTCCTGAAATGTAAATTAAAATTTAAAAATAAAAATGTTTATTTTGTTAGAAAAAATTTGGTGCTGCTAATAAGCAAAGGGAAAGAAGGGGATTTAAAGAAAATTACCCTTAAGGAACCAGATAATTGGACCAGATAATTTTGATTCAAGATTAAGCTCAAAAGTTTTAAGGAAATAACCAAAAGTACTTCACAGAGATGACATTTCAGTTCTAATGAATATGAATAATTTTCAATTTTATTTTAAGAAGACATTCTCCAGACAACTAACATTGTCTTCAGAATTTATCTAATTTTCCCATTAGCCAAATCGTGAGACAAGAAAAAACAGACTAATGTTGCTCTTTGTGCTTTTAGTGAATAAAACCTTTTGGGGCAAGTATTTCTCTCATCCTCTCCACAAATAAAAGATATTACCCCATTTGCTGACTCAGAAAATAATGATAATGAAAAAGCAACATTTCATATATTACAACTAATGAAAGTTTAAAAAATCTATTGAAAGTAACTAAATATTTTTACTTTAAATAAATTATCTGCTTGCAATAAATGGGGGTATAATAGATAATTTGAAACTTGAGATGTAATATGGCTTGAAAATGGACTGGCAGAGTAATATCTAATATGATATGGTTCTTTCCAAAGCATACAGAAAAAGAAATTTCCTTGAACATGTTTAAATCAAAACACAGTGTCTTTTGTCTTTAGTTTTAAAATTCTGATCATGATGCAGCACCACCAGATAGTTTATGCTGACTTTTAATGTCAACATTAACATTTGGACAAGATGGCAGGGAATGTAACTTTAAGATTTTGTACAGGTTACATATGTTAACTTTCCTCAACATATGTAACTTATACAAAATCTTAAAGGAATGACATCCCTTGAAATCTCCAGAGTTAACATCGATACTCAGAGGATGAAAAGCCCTAAATCAATGATTCAGAAAATGGAAAATAGCTGCTTTGGAGAGAACTCATTACTTGTGGCTAAGTGCCAAGGAGACGTCTCAGTACTCTGTTTTCCTATGCCAACGCCTCATGCAATCCTTCTCTGCTACTGTATACCATACACTCTAACTAGTTAAACACCAGTGAGGCTGCATAGAGATGTATGGAGAATCAAATTTGTGTTCCAATGAACACTTGCATAAAATATATGCTAACAGTATTGTCAAAAATGGGAACTGAAAAATGCATTTGTAACACTGTAGCCAGCCAAGCTACAATTCATTATCTGGTTGCTTAAAAGTAATCTCCTCATTTGAGACACAAGGCAAAAAGGAATCCTGGATCAAGGACCCTTATAGCGCTTACAGAAACACCACGCCAACCAACAATGTAGTAGCTAGGCAAACAGCATGGGGAAGATTGGCCATGGCAAGCTTTAATGGCTATGAATTAAAGTTAAAAAAAAAAATCATTGGGAACTTGAGAATACATTCCACTGGTTTATACCTGATTTCCCAGGAAGAACTGATAAAAAAAAAATGAAAAATGGAAGAAAGACACAATTAGTTCAACAGGAAACTTTCTATATGACTGTAGAACACACACACACACACTCTCACACTCTGTGCTTCTGGATATAGTATCTAGTTTAGAGATGTGCAGGAACCCAGTTGTCCTGATTTCAAACCAAATAATCAAAAAGTTTTCTCTGCAATGTTTTTTTGAGAATCTTAGGATTACAAATTCAAGTTAAAAATTCAAATACGTACGTGGATATTTTAAAATTTGGAAACATAAAAGTAAAAATGAATAATATTTCATTTGTAAGAAGCACACATTGTTTTAGGGAAACAGCACATTTCCTATCTAGCTACTACATATAAGAGATGTTCCAAAAAAGAGGAAAAAAAAAAAAAAAGTGATGAGGTCACATTGTTCTTCTGTTTTGAAGAAGGTAAACCAAGTTATTGAGATTTTGATTAAAAGCAAAAATAGTGCTCAAGTGAAAAAAACACTGCCTCTTTTTCATATTTACAAAAATGAGTCAACACTTTAAACTTTCTGGTTCTGGTTTGGAATAGCTTTGCTGTTTAAAATGTGGAAACTTACCTCAAATCCTAATAAAATATATTATAAAGTGATATGAAGCAGCCTAAATATGAGATCTGAGTGTTTTCTGTGAATAATTTTTGCCTTAAAAGTAATGTGCATGTTGTAAATGATTATGTCCCAATATACAAAACGCTGGCTATCTTTATATGACTTAAAATAATAGAAGTTGGAGTTTCATATACCATTAAATTTTGTTATGAGGTAAAAATAAATAATTAGGATTCCTGGAAAATAATGCCGATCAAAGTGTATATAAATTTCAACTTATATCCTTTAAAAGAACTAAAGTTATTTTGAAAACTTACCCTGTATTTGTTATCACCAATCTGTTCAACTTGAAATCGTTTTGCACATTTACACTTTGCTACCTGCCTTGTCACCTGCCAAAAGCAATGATGAAATATTCACTTTAGTGTTATTATCACCTAGTGGAATCTTTAAAACTTTGACACAACAACTAAAGTGGAAACAAATAAAATGGTTGCGTGAATTGCGCATGATATCCTGGCAGAACACACTATTATTGTTGTCGACAGTGCAAAGATAATGAGTACCTCATCTTCAATTTTGTCGGCATCCGTGATAGGTTTGTATGCATCTTTATTTGGGTGAAGGGCTGCTACAAATTCATAGTAGTCAATGTATCCATCACCATCTCTGTCAAAGATGTCTGCAACTGCGCTCATCTCCAGGCGACTGGTTGGGAACTCTAAAATTTTCGAAACAATAGGAAGTAGCGTAGCTTGTTAATTCTGCCTCCAGACATTCTCAATTGCACATTTTAAACTCACTGTGGCTGGTTAAATTATCAGGGTGATGAAATGTGTTAAAAACTGATCTACCTCATAACAAATGAACAGCTGTATATGTGATCTAAATTTATCTTCAATTACTATCAGGATGAATCATATGAAAATGCCATTTTTATAGGCTGCAAACTGTCTAAAACTAGCCATTTCATATGGTGCAACTACTACCCTACTTAATGAATAATTTATATGAAATTTACTTTTTTAAGAATGACTTCTAGTAACATCTGTCAGGAAAATCACATCACATATAAATGACTGAAACATTAAACAAAAAGGTGACAAATACCTTAAGATTTTTTATAGAGTTCTAATTTCCTCTTAATGACAATGTTAGATCAGAATGTGAATTAGAATGAAAGAGAAAGGCTCTTGCACTTATTGATTTTCTATTATATTCCAGGCAATACAAAAAACCTAAGATCAAATATTATTAACCTTATTATATTAACAAGGACACAGCTTCAGTGGAATGAAGAAACATGTCTGTGGGATACAGCGACTGTGCCTGATTACAGAGCCACCAATTTTACCAAAGACACTTTTTTAAAGGGTGGTGACTTCCTAACTAAGTTTAAAAGTGATGCATTATTAGTAACACAAGTTTACTGGCCTCACAATTTTAAGCTCCACTTATTTACTTTAAAAATTACATCAGCCACAGTCACCTCTCTTGGGACTTACTTGAGGAAAGAATTCCATCAATAAATTCCTGTCGGGTTATTTTCCCATCCTGATCTTTATCAATTCTCCTGAAGAAGTCCATCACTCGAGATTTCTTGTGATTCATCCATCGCATGTATTTTTTGCGCCAGATATCAAAATCAAAGTTAGCAAATTCCCTCAGCTAAAAAGGGCAAAAGGTGTTTTAGTTGAGTTAATGCTCTGCTTGAATTATACCTTACACTATATGAATGGTTCTCTAGGTAATACGTTTATCTTTCCCATTTTTAAAAAAAGCTATGGTCTTGCAAAGGAGACTCAAACATTTTTTTCTGCAAAGCTTATTTCATTACCGACAACTGATTCTTCTTCATAGATAAGACTCCTAAAAATTTAAACTGAAAATTTCTGATAATGCCAAAGTCACAAAGGTGGTCTGCCCTGAAGTACCACCCCACTAGTCCTGTGCTCATTGGAAGTAGTATCACAGATCAATAGCATTTACATAAACCCCTTTGCACTATCAGCCACTCTCTTAACTCCCTAGACTTCAAAGAATTTCCCAATTTCAGAATCTAAAACTCTAAATCTCAGATCACAGAATATATATAATTAAAAGATATGAATTACAAATGATTATATTTTACCAAGTACCACCAGCAAACATATGTCAAGTTAGATCTTTTCTTATGGAGTCATCTTCTCATTAAGACATATCAGTTTTTTACTTTATTGATTCCCTAAATCCAAATCTATCAGTTTTTCACAAAAACATACATACTTGTGGTATTCATTTTAGCAGTAAAACATGCACCTAAATAGCAAGAGTTTACTTATCTATTATCAGAAAAGTTTTAAAAAATCAAGATTTTGGTAATGTGTTATGGTGAATGAAGGAAAATGAGGGTACAGGGATGAATACATGCATCTCCTCACCTCCTCCAGCCTGTCCAAGGCGTCATTGAGCTTTCTCCTTCTTTCCAACGCCAGGAGCCAGACTTGCTGCCATTTGCTCACCAATAAGTTTACCCTGGGATTCTTGGTTTCGATTTGTGTCTGTGATCCAGAGGGATATAAGCTTGATGCTGGGAAGCGTTTTCCTGTTAAAATGTAACTTTAGTTAGAATGGCAGAGATTCCAGGGTTCTGAAATGCATTAAAGCATGGCCTTTTTTTTATTCCTAACTAAGACTGAATCAGCTTAAGTATTTGGGCATTACAAGTAGAAATATCCTCATTTAGTTGATGCATAATGTCAAGGTCCAAATCTGTTTACACTTACTAAGGATCACACACTGTTTATAGAAATTAGAGAAATATATCTTGGCAGGGGTATTTAAATATTGAAAAGCTCTCAATAAAGTTATGTTTAAAACATTTTCCAGCTTAAGATTCATTGATAATGCCATTTCAATGACAATGAAGCATGTCGTGATCCTCTTCTTTGTTAAGGCAAGATAAAAGAAATCTCCCAGGGCAGTGAGACACAGTGAGACGTATCTTAGAATCAGTTACAGTAAACACAGCTGCCCTTCTTAGAGAATAAGGCTCAAAGGGACAGCAGATGAGTGCAGAAGACACCGGGCAGTCAACAGCATCAGAGTAAGATGCTTTACAAATCCCAATGAAATATGGAAGTATATGCACAGGACCTTAGCTTTCACCCAAGTCCATCCTACACTGAGATTGGGTGTTTCTATTGCACAGTCTCATTCCAAGTTTACTGACTTACTAACGTTTTCTCCCTCTTTCTGGCTGTTTTTCACAAGTTTCTGTAGCTTCACAAAACAGTGATCTCAATGCATTTTCCTTATCTAACTAAATGGATAAATGTGGCCTAGAAAAATTACTTGCCTAAAGTCTTATAGGATGTTAGAGTCCAAGCTCGGATTTATATCTACAACTAATATTTACTGAACATTTAACTATATGCATTAGCTCATTTAATTCTCACCGCAGTCCAATGAGGTTATAATTATATCATTTTACAAATAAGGAAATTGAGGCTCAGAGTTTAAGTAATTTGTCCAAGGTAATGTTTCCAGTTGGTAAGTGGTGGGGACAGCTAAGGAGTCTGACTCCAGTGTTCTTAATCACATTGTTACCTTGCCTCCTTGTGTAATACAGTAATGACAACAGTTCTGACACCACTTTTTAAAAAATCAAGGCACGATTCAGATATACACAAAATGCATGATATAAATATTATGCTTCTTTTACATCTCCAAACTACTATTCTTTTAAATGCCATTTCCATGGATTAAGATAGTGTGAGATGTAAGTAAATAGAGTCTGAAGTCACACAAACATGTGCAAAGCCAGATCGCTGGTCACCAATGAACACTTAGATCAAGACCTTTACTCTATGTTCAGGTACATTCATTTTACATTCTTCATATAATAGAAGAAAAATGAGGCAATTCAAAGGGGAGTGATAATTTCTGTTCTTGTTGCAATTTTTCCAATTTTTTCTAGCTAATCTGAATGATACACTTCAAGCAAATAAAGTTAAATACAGAAACCTGGACATGTCTTTTTCTTTATTTTTAAATAAGTTGCTACAAATACTTGAGCCCATGTATTCTTTCGAGAAAAACTTTTATGATAGAGTGCTCATGTAGAATNGAGTCTGACTCCAGTGTTCTTAATCACATTGTTACCTTGCCTCCTTGTGTAATACAGTAATTACAACAGTTCTGACACCACTTTTTAAAAAATCAAGGCACCATTCAGATATACACAAAATGCATGATATAAATATTGTGCTTCTTTTACATCTCCAAACTACTATTCTTTTAAATGCCATTTCCATGGATTAAGATAGTGTGAGATGTAAGTAAATAGAGTCTGAAGTCACACAAACATGTGCAAAGCCAGATCGCTGATCACCAATGAACACTTAGATCAAGACCTTTACTCTATGTTCAGGTACATTCATTTTACATTCTTCATATAATAAAAGAAAAATGAGGCAATTCAAAGGGGGGTGACAATTTCTGTTCTTGTTGCAATTTTTCCAATTTTTTCTAGCTAATTTGAATGATACACTTCAAGCAAATAAAGTTAAATACAGAAACCTGGACATGTCTATTTCTTTATTTTTAAATAAGTTGCTACAATACTTGAGCCCATGTATTCTTTCGAGAAAAACTTTTATGATAGAGTGCTCATGTAGAATCACCAATTGCTCCAAAATTTCGAATGATAATTTAAAAGAAAGGAACTAGCTTCCTTGTTTAACCTTCTTCATTTTAAAAAATTGGCCACTGCTTACTTCCTGCTCGTCCCTTATCCAAGACCGGAATATGGGACTGTAACGAGGAAGGGTCAGCTGCTCTCCTCTTATAGGTCTTGGTTACTTTATCAACATCAGGCTGTTTTCTGGTCATTTCTTCCATGAAGGTCTGAAATGAAAGAGATTATGTCAATTAAATAAAAGTATATCAGAGAAAACCATCCTTAGAAATGAGCTAAAAATAAACGGATAAAGGAACCATGCTATTATTTCTGAAGAAGAATAAATCATCACATTCTATCTTTAGGGGGGAAAATGTCTAAATCATTATAATACAGCATTCATTAATTTCTAAAGAGTGAAAAATGTTATAGCTGGTAAAGAGAGTAAATTAAATTAAAAATAATTTTAGTTTGAAGACCATACAGGGGAGCAGTATTCTACTTCCAGAAGGATCTTTAGTGAACAATTATTTGTCTGCAAAGGAACTGGTTAGCTGGGGTTTTCCCTTTTCTGTGGAACATTTCACCTACATATTTGAAATATTTAAGTTGGCTTTGACATATAGTAACATAATGCACCCACATTAAATGCAGATATATTAAAACATTCATAAATAAGCTTTTCCAAGGAGGGTAAAAGTTATTCAGATTGAAGTTTATTATAGCAATATTTAAAAGGTTTGACTATCTTGCCATTTCTTATCTCATCTCCTTAGGCTTATAATTATTATTGACTAGGTATTCCTATATCTGAAATACGTAGCAAAGGCTAAGGAAAGGCAGAGACTGTGGTGAAAAGAGATGGGGAAAAGGAGAAAAGTGGAAAGTAAAGTAACACATTTCTGGAATATTTGTCACACTGGAGAACTCTGACTCCTTTAATACCTCTGATCACAGAGAACATGAACGAAGACATTGGGGGCCATTATTGACATTGGTATCTTAGACATTTATTAGTATATAATAAGGCAATGTTAATTGCCCAGACAACTGAGCTGACAATGTGCCTCTTTGTAAATGCATATTAAACAAACTAACAAGTAAACAAATAAATCAGAGTTAGCATGACACCCATCATTTCAAGGTTAAACCAAATAGGATATACAGGAGAAGTAACTTTTCTGAGAAAGACTACGTGTTTGCTTTTTGATAAGATGTATTTGAACTACTGCTTGTAGTACTTGGGAGACAGATGAAAATGCAAACACGGAGCAATCAAACAAGGTTCCAGTTGAAGCCATGGGGTTGGGTGAGGTCGCCAAATGATGGAGCAGAGTGAGAGGAGCAGAGAGCTAAGGATAAAAGCTGAAGAGTTGGGAGACAAGGCCACAAGAGGACTTCACAGAGGACAAAGAAGGAAAGAGTTTTGAGAAGGTCACAGAGGGCAGTTGTAGAATTAGAAACCCAGTTGTAAGGAGCGGAGGAGTATGTTTGAGGATGGACAGATAACAAGCACAAAGCAAGCTTTTGAGAAGTGTGGCAATGAAAGAAAGAAAATATCTGAGATGACGGCTAACAGGGGTTAGCATTATATTTATTTTACCTGGTGTTCTGCAATGAGGGCTTTCACCTCTTCAATCTCCTGGGGGATAACTTCTTTATCCTTATCACTAAGTGTAGTTTCAGCCCATTGTAACCAAGCCAGCAAAGCTTCCAACAATTCCTGTTTGGCAATGAGCCCAGCCAGAGCACTTGCTAATCTCTGCTGATGTTGCTTCGCCCAGGCCAGCACCTGTTGCAGAAACAGACATTGCTCTGAATTTCCTCCAACTTAATGAATAATTACATTGATGTAAAATACACAAATTTTAAATGTAAATTAGGATCATCCTGGGCTAGGCCCATAACATCTTTCTATAAGGCATTAGTGGCACCAAGACCCAGCTTGAGGAGCATCTGGGAGCCCTCGATGATGTTCATCACCTTGAAAAGTTTAAAGATGTGCACCCGTCACTCAGGTTTTTGCTTTCTAACTTCAGTTCAAATATGCATTCTCTGAGGGATCAAGATGTTACTCCATGGAGCACAGAGTGGAAATATAAAAAGCTAAGATCCTGAATAGAGAATTAATTCTCTTCGTGTATACCAATTCACTGCACAAGTATATGTTGCTCTGAAATACTATTCAACTGCTGGATTATTCAACAGACACAATGTGGAAGTGGGAAAAAATGTTACACTGTGAACCAAATATTTGCCTTTTAGTGTTTCAGGTACACAGGTGCAAAATTCCTCTAACTTTTTAAAGAAAAGTGAATTTTAGAGACTGGTAATGTGCACAAAAAGAGGATTTTAAAGAACATTTTCTATGTGAAGGCCTCATTTTCTCACAGTTGTAAGTGCATCTTAATTGCTGAGATTTCTGACACCCCCCAACTCTCAAAGCTATTGCCACCAGAAAGATGATCTGAGCCAGACTGACCTCCTCAAACCTGGCCCGGATAATTGTTATCCAGTGCTTAATGGTGGTGATGGAGTCAGGGTGGCAGATAGCCAAAACACCGTCGCCCATGCTGGTGGCTTTATTTAGCTCAGCTCTTTTTTCTTCCAGTTTTTTCATGAATTCCTATAACAGAAATGAAGACTTCAATTAGCTGTTGATACTGGCTGAAAACAACACTCTGGTGATGTTCATGTGACTACCAGAGTTAAACAAACAAACAAGAACTTCAACTGGTATATCCAGTTGGAAATCACCCACTAATTGGGGAGGAAAAGAGGACAAAATAGGTGATTAAAGTATTTTCTAATGAGTATATCAAAGTACAAGTATAAGATAATATCTTATGCTTTAAAAAGTATATTATTAAAAATAAAAATCTCCTAAATTTGGATGTAATTATATTATTAATGGAGAGAACAATTGGGAGAGAGAGTACTGCCAGAGATAGAAACATTATTGATGGCACACACACACAAAAAGAAAGGTATAACAAATAAGACCAGGAAGTTAGTATTTAAAATAGCACTAACTGTGCCAGGAAAGGTAGGAATATGTACCAAAAAATTACTAAAGAAGAGAAAAGGCTGGGCAAGGAGATATAAATGTTTGGGGGTGTGGAAGAGAGGGCCCAAAGCATCCAGCCCTAAAGAGTTAGAGGAGGCTGGAGGGAGTGGACCTGATTGACAGCAGGCCAACCTGTATGAGAACTGTCCCTTTCAAAGGCCACTAAGAGCTACTCTCCTATGTGGGGGCAGTTCCAGCCAGTATCCATGGGGCAGCAGGATAAACAGAGCTTAGGCAAGTCAAGGACAATCTTCTGAATAACATTTTTACAAATGTCTCACATACGTAATTGTACTTTCTACCATTAGAACTATATCCATAGGCACATAGATCATAGAACTCTGAAAATTTGGTTAGAAAATGAAGACCTTTGCCCTGAAAAATGTGGCATGCTTCCAAAACCTCATATAGAACTTCAGAGCATCAACAGACACCCTGATCTACATGGACCCCTACACTTAGAGGGATTGTTTGATCACACTGTCAATGAGTGCCAAGGACTGCAGACACAGGTGACATCCACGCTATTCATGCCATGAACAGGGGTGTTCATTTTAAATTATTGGTTTTTTACTCTAATATATAGTGACATTTTATTATAACCTCTGTGAAGCAGCTCTGTTACATACCTCCTTCTCTGGCATTTTGCTATGTTATAATTGTTTACATACGTGTCTACCAGACTCTAAGGTCCACAGATTAAAGACTGTGTCTTACTCACTTTTGTTTTCCCATTAATTGGCTCAAAAGAGCTTTGTGAGTCACTATAAATGTTTTTTAGCCCTTTTATTTACATGTTTATTATTGTGGAGTCAAGTCTCAATTAGCAATGTACTCTGATACCAGGATCTACTTTTTTAAGATCATAACCTATTTTAAAAACATTCCAATTTTCCCCAGTACAGATCCTCTTAAATGAATTTTAAAGAATGAAAACTTTACTAGGAAGAGAAAAATATAGGTTAATAACAGCTGTGCTTCCCCAGAGGACAGCTGACATGGATCATGTATTTTTAATCACTCTTATATCTAAAAAAACTAGAGTCATGCCCAAATTTTGGTGGACTGGTCTATTAACTCCATACTTCATTCTGTGCTCTTCCAATCTAGTCTGAGTGTTACCTTAGTGGTTTGTATCCACGTGGGAAAGCTTGCCATTTTTTAGAAACTGGATTATACTGAGAAGTCTCTAGTCCTGGTGCTAAGAAATTAAACAAAATATTCTGTTTTTCCTTCAATTGGTGAATGGTGAATGTATGAAGGGAAGCAGAGGAAATGAAAAAGAATTAATAATGCTACTGTAAACTATTATTACTAAGAAGCACTTTATGAAACTACAGGTAATTTTATGCTATTTAAAAATAATTTTAAATAATTTGTTGTAAAACCACTACCCCTGCTCTGGATACTTGCCTTCCTGGGGGTTTCCTGGTCCTCCTGTGAGGAGGTGATGCCACAAGTAGGCCCCTTTCTGTAGGGTGTTAGATATGTACAGTGGGCTTCAAGGGGGGTCCAGCAGATACTTATTGCTACTCTGGGACCCAAGCCCAAGTATTTTAGTGAAACTCAATGCTGGTCAGTAATATAACATAAACTAGATTTTTAAAATATTGAGCTGAATAAAAAATTTACAATAAATTTTATGTAATTTTCCTATTCTTACACTCTAGCTTCAAATTTAAATGGTGTGTAAAGCATTTCAGTCCTCCAGATAATGCTATACAAGCTCGCATCACTTTCATTAATGACAAGGCAATATTTCATTGCTATAGGGTTAGGCAACCCATCTTTGAGAAAGGGCATTAATTAATATAACAAGTCTCTATAGATGAGGTAATCTGTGCTTCACTGGAATTAATGATGTATTTCCAACCTGACCTTGAAAGACAAGGTTATTTAGTGGTGTTAAAAAGATCCTTTAAAGTTAATAGGACATGCTGACATCAACACTACTTGAGAGTTAGCATTGCAAATTCCTCAGTATTTGAGTCAAAGAGTCAAAGGTTAAAAAACATCTGTGAAGAGCTATCTGGACCACTCTCAAAGGTTTTACCAAGTTCCATGCATTGCCACAGGAAAGATTTTGACTTGAAAACTCAATGGCCAGATTTTTACTTGGTTAGTTTTTCAACAGTATATCTACTTATGGAATTCATTTTTAACATTTATAATGTATACTGTAGGTTACTTCCTAAAAGGATTAAAAAAGGTCTTTATTAAAAACACAAGCAGCAGAGGCTTAAAAATAAAATTTAAAGATGAGTTATTAAATTACTTGCCTGTCTTAGTCACAAAGGTCAAAATTATTAATTTATAATTCTACTGGTATAATTCTATAAATGCTGCACTGCTCATTAAGGAAGTTTCATTTTTGAAATCCACATAGAAGTGAAACAAAATTAACCAGTTTTGGTCAGAAGCCAAATAACCCCCTAGAAAAATCAATGTGTTTCCCAGAGATAGGAAATAGACGATTAACATTAAAATAAGTGCCTCCTCTAAAAAAGAAGACATGAAAAGACAGCTACACATACATGTGTGTGGGGGTCTGGGGACACATATATGCAAGCAAAGAAGATAGGGAAAAATTCTCCAATGTGCCAGACGTTTAATTACTTCTCAGGAAGGAAGATATTCACGCAGTTGATATTTGCAATCATGAGTCTATTTGGTCTACTTTGTCGGATTTTCTCACTTAGTTTTCCTTAGCATTTATGTATTACTTACTTTATGCTGATCAATGAGAGTCCGGAGAGCATCCTCATCGTCTGGGAGAACACCATGGAAACGCAGGGTTTGCTCCGCCTCAGCCAGCCACTCCAAGAGGGCATGGACCACCGAGTGAAATTCCTCTGCCTAACAGTTCACACGTACACCCCCCACAAACAAAATTCCCAAATAGGCCTGTTAGTAAAATGCAAAGAACTGTATAGTAGATTCTTCCCCCTCAATGAAAAAAAAAATTAATTTAATTAATCATATGCATATGCATTACTCCCATTAAAAAAAAAGATAGATGGTGCTGCATTCTACAAATGTAAGAAAACAACTAATATAAGGAAAAGGCCAATAGGAAGAGTTTAAATGAGTGGCAGCCCATCATACTTTCAAAGCTGAAAGATCACTCAAGCAGCACATTTATGTGAAGATTAGAAAAGCTCCCTCTGTGAGTAATTTAAATTCTTGAGGGAGGACGGGGGAAGGATCAAGGCAGTGATGCTATTAGAACTCCCTTCACCACGACTGTCCTGGTTGAGAAATGAGGAGCCTCACAGTTCCTTACAAGAGCAGTTCTTGCTGAGGTTTCAATATTTCTTCATTACACTTGGCTATCATGTACGTGGTTTTTACCTGACGCAGGGCTGCTTCTAATCGTGTTTGCTTTGATACAGAAAGTGCACACACGGTCTCCCAGCGGGTGCTTAGTTCCTGCATCTGGACCTTGACCCAGGAGGAGTCATCCCGACTGCCTTCTATAAGCTCGCGGGCTGAGCGCTTCAGGGCCTGCACGCTGCTGGTCCTCTTCCCCAACTCTTTTTGGAAGACCTAAGAAGACCATATTTTTAAAAATTAATTTTAAATTATAGAACCAAAACAGCAAAACATACCATTTGAAATATATATATTTACATAATATCACATACAGATATGTAAGGCCTACAGTTCAATGACAATATTTTGGGCAGAATCTTCAGAAGGTGAGAAATGACACACTGCTCCTATTGGAGCACTGTCAAGAATACAGTCTTATATTGTTTAGTCTTATAACATTCACATGAAAGAATATGATTACCTTATTTTTTAAGTAACACATTGGATTTAAATAATGGTGGCCAGTCTTCCTCATTTCAATTCTACACACATACACACACACATACACACATACACACACAAATGCATAAAACTCTTTTTTCTATGCTTTTTTAATATGATGTCCCAATTCCTCTCAAATCTTAAGTGTGAGCGTCAAGTGCATGCTGGCTACCCTACTGCTCTAAGAGACATGTCTAAGAGACTCACGGATGACCAAGCACTCTGTTGTATTCCATGGGGCTCTTAGAGATAATGGCAGGGAATCCCACAGGGGATCCCATGTGGTCCTTTACTCCTTTTTACAGCATCCTAAGTACTAACCCACAATGTCAATTTTAGAGGCTAGGACTTAAGCCTTACCGATCATTTGAGAGGAAAGGTTTTTGGGCTTCTTTTCCCTGCCTAATTTTGACTAACTTTGACATGCCAGAAGACTTAAACAAGAAGTGAGCCCAGGGCTCTTCATTTCTGAGCCAAGAGTCTGTATATGCAGCTAAATCTTTCAGATAACCAACCTTCTGTCTAGAATAAAATTAACTTATTTTTCAAAAAATCGTCACAAATGAATTTTACCAGTTGGCTGTATTTATGTGTTTCTATTCTGATACTCAGATCATTCACAAAAATGAGCCCATCCAAAACAATCCAAACATAGTGTAATAAATTCTTTGACTGATTTCACTCTAACAGTGTTAAATGAGGTGTACCCACAGATAGACAGATACAAACACATGTACACACACACACACACACAAACAAACATGTGCACAGAAGGTACAGTATTGAAATATTCCATTTGTGATAGGACTAGTCCAATAGTTCTGAGTAGACTTTTCAATGTGCTTTGTATACTTAAACTTCTTGAGCTTTCCAATTGTATTACTAATGCTAAATGATTAATTCATTCTTGATGACCTTTAATATATAAAAAATCTGGCAAGTGCCTAGGGTAGTAAATATTTAGATAGTGAGCTTACAAAAATGGTATTTATTTAAAAAGTAACATTACACTATTCATTACTCATTGAGTGAATGCCAGAAAATGGAAGAGTTTGTATTAATCATGCAGAAAACACTTATTTCAATATAAGCAAAGCAATGTAATTTAAAATTTTTTTTTAATATTTGTAGGCCTGATCAATGTTATTTATTCTTTTACTTTCTGTTGATATTCATGTGTAACGAACTCTTTTTTGGGTATAATGACAGAATAGAAACAGAAAAGGTAAAATAAATATGCGTCAGGAACAACTACTTTAGAAAAAACAGGTAAGATAAAAATAGAATAACCTGGGAAGAGAATATTTTAAAATGAAATAAATTTTCTGAACTACAAAATTATAAAGTAGAGAAGAAACTCAACATGAATTCAAGTAGAGTGCTGTAAGACATTTGTTTACAAAGTTGGTTCGGATACAGCTATTCTACATTAGTACTATGCTTCATGTTGTTTCCAAAGTTCTTTAAGTGTTATTATGCCATTGGATCATAATTTAGGACCTTACACTTAGTATCAGCTGGACCCGTAAATACTACTTTTGATTTGTATGACAGCTTAACACACATATCAGGAAAATGCAAGGAAACCAATTTTCTTAAAGTAAATAATAGTCAAATCGCTCACAGCACATGCTGTGGACTCATAAACTGCTATAATTCAAGGGGCAAGGTTAAAACAGTTTTTTAAAAAAAAAAGAAAAGCAGCTGATCATGACCCCTCTGGATCATGTCACAAATCTACACACTTATGCAATGACCTAGTTCCAGGTCACTGGATGAATGATTTTGCTTTTTATTACATAATTATTTAAATGAATAACTAAAGATAGTGAAACATTCTTAAAACATGTTTTGTTTTGTTTTTTGTTAACAGAATGTAGTGGTGTATTATCTAAACAGAAGAAACATGTTTTAAAGCACCAGAGAATGTATCACTTTCCAAGTTCTAAAAAGGTTTTTAGAAGTGCAAATTAAAAACAAAAGTATTTCAATGACATTAATTTTCCGCCCTCACTTTTAAAGTTGGCTTCCTGATTCAGCTCAAACGTAGGCACATTTCAACAATCAAGACTGTTATGTTGTATGGTGTAGAGTCTCCTGATGATAAAAGGCTAATTTAAGTGGTTATGTTTCCCTGTATATGAAGAATAATCAAACAACAAGATAAAATAAAATGTCCCAGATAACAATACCTTGTGATTATCGATCAGATTCATCACTAAATCAATGTCTCCATGGACAGGCTGGTCTTCTGCCAGTTGGGGTTCAACTCTGTACAACCAATCAATGAGGGCCTGCAGGGCATCTGTGAATTGTCCAGAAAATAAAAGGGCTTCCTCCAATTTGTTTTGTCTGGGGGGAAAAAGGTGGAAAAATTAATCTGAGCAACAAAAAAGCTGCCCTTATATATATGAACATCTAAAATTCATTTATGGAGGCTGAATGGTACTCAAGAAGAAGAGCAATATACTTATTCACTGCTGTTTCTTTACTTTCCTTATTAAATAACAGAAGTTTTCTCAAATTTTCTTTTTTATTCCTTAAATATATGGCATCAATTCTAGGAAAATTCCCTAATTGCCATCTTTGGAAATCACTGATCATTCGAGTTTCTTCATAAAAACATACTTTCTTAGTATTTACAATATTGTTTTAAATTATCAGACAGTAAACTTGACTTTATTTGGTATACAGTTTTTTTCATTTTAACACATCTATAGATTCATATAACCATCACCACAATAAAGATACACAATAGTTCCACAATCCCCAAAATCTCCCTCCTGCTAGTTGTCCACAGTTACACCCTGCCCTCATCTCTAACTCCTGGCATTCGCTGATCTGTCTGCCTTCACTGTAATTTGTTGTCTTTTTCTTTTCAAAAATGTCATAAATTAAATCATTTATATGATATTGCAAAAAGTATGCAAATTTTTGAGACTGGAGAAGTCAAGGTTTTTTAAAAATGCAAAAACTTATTGTGGAATTCCCTAGAACTAAATATAATATACTATTTAATCTTGATACTGACAAAAGTAATTAAGACTAAGAATCAGTAAAAATTTTGAAAAAAATTACAGGATATTTGAACTCTTTGTACTTTCTTAAATACTTAAAATTTTTGAAATAAAGTCTTGAGCCTTCATGGAAGTATAAGAAGAAAGAGGAAGATTGGAAAAGAGTGGATAAAGTTGGAAGGCAGTGCCGGGGCAGATCAGCAGTACCCTTGCACACCACATGAAGGAACCTGTATTTTATTTCACGCCCAACATTAAGTCCCCAAAGGGAATGAAGGAGGGGAATGACAAGATCCCATTTACATTTTTAAAAAAACATTCTAGTAGTTATGTGGAAATGAGATTAGAAGTGGACCTGGGAAGATGAGTCAGAAGCAGTTGGTATAGTCAGGTGTGAGATGACAGTGGCTTGAAGAATGATACCCGTTTATACTGTAATGTGTAAAACAATAATGGAAAGTGAAGTCTTCTCAATGCAAGAGCTGTATGAGTGGGGTATTTAGGACAACTAGAAGTTCCCCAGACAAAGAAGGTACCTACTGTTCCTAAAATATCCCTGCAAAGCACACTACTGTATACTTGAAAGAGGTCTGCAAAGTAACCAAACTGCCTTAAAGAACGTTTTACCTTTCCACAGATTTTCCACATATGGTATCCCATTTGTCTCTGAGTTCACTCAGCATGTCATCCAGTTTCAGGTTGTCATCAGCCAGGGAGGTTTTCTCCTTCAGAGAACGTCCAGTTCTGTTGGTGGTGTCATAGACAGAATGCTTGGCTCCGAGTGATTTCTGAAACTCCTGTACGTTTAATAAGAAAACAAAGTGTGTTTATACTAGGGACTCATAAACAAATAGGTAAGAGACATTGAAAGAGGCATCCCTAATAAACAGAGTTCAAACACTGGAAGACATCAGCAAATAGTCAAGTCAGATGGTGTGGCGCTGTATTCTACACAGGAACACTTCACGGAGAATATGAATAAGAATCATTAAACCTTCAAATTGAAGGATTTCTTTTTCTCCAAAGCCAGGTGTCTCTGAGAGTACCTATTAATGTCACGAAAATAATTTCAAAGCAAAACGAATCCTGAACGTCTTGTAGATATAAACCACAAACAGTATAATAGTTATGATGAAATGGAATTGCTAATAAACTACTTAAGTACCCAAGGTTTTGGAGAGGAAAATGTAGTTAATACTCTAAAAGTAACAAGAGGGCTGGTATAGACACAGAGTGACTCAGTAATGTATAAATTTACTACTTTTTAAAACCAAACAGATTTATTGTCACAATAATAATACATGTAATTTTTTCTCTGATCCAGGATTAGGGCAGGTAAGAACCCCATTGCTAACTTCCTAGGTTTGCACCTATTGCTCGTTCCATTCACTCTACTTGGGCAGCATACATCCCTCCTTCCCACCTATTTAAAGCCCTACAAAAACTTCAAAAGGTCTACAGATTACTTGTCCTGTACCAAAGAGCTATATTACTAATGTAACATCTATACTTTGATGCTTTTTACATTGTTACTCAGCCTTTCATGTTTGTGTATGTACACGTGTGTGTGAGGGATGAATTATAGTAATACCCCTTTATCTGTAATGGAAAGTTCAAGGAATAAACAATTCATGAGTTTTAAACTGTGTGCCATTCTGAGGAGCATGATGAAATCTCACTCCGTCCCACTAGCTGACTCACTTAGTAGCCATCTCAGTTATCAGATAACTGTCACGGTATTGCAGTGCTTGTGTCCAGGTAACCCTTATTTTACTTCATAATGGCTCCAAAGCACAAGAGTAGTGATGCTGGCATATTGTTATAATTGTTCCATTAATTATTTGTTATTGTTGTTAGTCTCTTACTGTGCCTAATTCATAAATTAAACTTTATCACAGGTACATATTATAGGAAAAAACAGCATATACTGTATAGGGTTTGGTACTATCTGCAATTTCAGGCATCCACTGGAGGTCTTGGAATGTATCTCCCATGGATAAGGGGAGACTACTGTATATTTTTTATACACAACTCAATGATAAGCTTTTACAGAGCAGGGACATTGTCTCTGTAGGCCTCCCACTATCCTCTTACATCTAGTAATGTTAAAAAATATTTAATAGAAAGAGAGGGGAAAAAATGAGAACTCCTATTGAATATACAATCTCAGGATAAGAAGAAAGAAAGGTCAACTTAACAGTCAGCTTACAATCTAATACATATCAAGAAAATACTAATACAGTGACTCCCAATCCTGGTAGCACATTAGAACCCCCCAGAGGGCAAAATGCTACACAAATGTATAATTTTCCAAAATAATCTCTAGGTTACAACTACTTAATATGTTTTTATAGCCTTTAAAAACTACACACTTGAAATGTTTTAATACTACTAAATTATATTTTGTTCTCTAATAGAAGGCAACTACATCTGGAAAATTTTAAGTAATAAATAACACAATTACAATATCACATAATTTCTACAGTTTGCTATCTGTAAATATTTTTTTTTCATGTTATTCCAAACAGAATGCTAGTGCTTGGAATTACGGTGTTGACACAGATTTTCTTCACACAGCAGACACATAATAAATATGATAAATGAATATAGCATAAATTAAAGATGTTTAAAGACAAAAGACGCAAATGATGAATAGAAAAGACTTCTCTTAAAATTGAATTAATGGACTACTTTGAATATGTATCTCACAGAAATGGCGGCTTTGGCAATAGGTCACACTAGGAAAAATAGAGAATCTAACAGGGTTCTTTGCGTACTGTTGTTTCTAGGATTCTCTTACTTTAATATGTAACATACTTTCATAAGACTACATGAGACAACATCCATGTTCAAGTTCAAATAAGGCATTCTATTTTGAGGAGGCCCTCATTTTTCCATAAGAGGGGAAGGATAGAAGGTGCTGTTCACTATCATTGCTCTTCCAACACTGGATGTGGCAGCTCACTGGCAGAACAAGCCATTCCTAAGCCCTCTTCTAGCCAAAGAACAGATGCTCAATGTTTCCTCCCATCACCCTTTGATCATCATGACCCCCAAAGGTCATCAGACCCACTGATGGATGCAACCAACCTGTGAGAAGATGATGGCTAGAGTTCTGGTGATGAAAAATCTTACATTGCCACTATTTTTTCTAGCCTTTTGAAATTATCATGTTTCAAGCAGTGATTTATATGTAGATACTTAAAATTATAAAACTATTTGCAGACTTCTGGTCAAATGTGGAATAGATGGTGCCCTGCATCATTCTCTCCCACAAATCAATCAATTCACAACTATAAAAAAAGCAATGACAGCCAAGCTGGGGCTACTAGAGCTCAGGGAAAGAGGAGGAGAGACCTATGGTGTGCATGAAGGTGGGAAAAGCCACGAGAGAAAGAAAAAAACCTCTCTGACTGTTTCGAGCCCCAGCCATTTCAAGCCCTGCCTGTTTCCAGGCTGGAGCTGCTGAGCGCATGGAGCAGGAGCTGGCAAAAGCCACAGCTGTGCCCTTCAGATGTAGTTGCTTGGAGGCAGCAGGGGAGAAGAGGGCCTTGTAAGACCACTAATAGCGTTCCCGTGGACCTACATAAGATCAAGGAGCCACAACAACTGAAAAAAAGGAGCCACTCAGAGGCTGGTAAGTCACTGCAAGGGACCTGTGTATGGCCTGTCCCATGGGGAGTGTATGGAGCATGGGCAGTGGGGGAGATGGGCCTAATGGGGGAACACTGGGGCACAGCAAGACAGCTGATTTGCACCCCAATCAGCATAGGATCACTCAGAGGAGACTGGTAAGGAATACAGAATTGCATGGTTTGATGAAACAACTCAGGCCCAGACCAGAGTTTCTACAAAACCCAGGTGCACCAGATCTCACAAGAGCCAGAAGTACCTATAAAGTCAACCACTAAAACTTGAGCTGCCAAAAGTCTTCCACGGGGAATCAGCAGCAAAGCAGCAATTTAGCTCAACTACAGGGCTTAAGTGCTGGTCCTCACAGGAAGTTCCCCCATTTTAGAAGTAGTAAAGGACAACAAATTAGTTCCAGCACAGAGTTTAAGTGGTCGGAACAGCAAATAATCCAACACAGAACTGAAAGAAAAAACCAAGTACCTACAACCAGAGACAAAGTTTGATATTAAGTAGTAAAGGTCTCATTTCACAAAAGAACACCTATAACACCTAGAAGGACTGAAAGTCCCCTGGGCTACCAAGCCAGAAAGTGGGGAGGGCCAGGGGCCTCAGCCATGCCCCTGACACCCACAACCAGTCCCGATGGTAGAGGCTAAGGGATTTGGCCACACCCCACGACATGTGCAACCAGCCCAGCCACAACCACTGAGCTGCAGCAGGATGGATCCCAAGCTCTTCCCAGCCGGGGTGGTGGGGGGCCTACAGCCTCAGCCATGCCCCCTGATACATGCAACCAGCCCAGTGACAACCACTAAGCCTCAGCAAGAAGGGCCCCAGTTTCCCAAGCTGGGGTGGTGCGGGGTGAGGGCTTTTGCCACATCCCGCTGACATCTGCATCCAGCCCGGCAATGAACAAAAACCACTGCTGGAAGCTCCCTGGTCTCCCCCGTGGGAATGAGGGGGGTGCCACAGGCCTCAATCCCACACTTCCTCCTTCTTCCATCTCATTTCATTCCCCGTTCCCCTCTCCCCTTCCCTCCCAACTGCTCCACAACATCATAGAATGTAAAAAATAATAATATTAATAAAAATAAATAAATAAATAAAACTATTTGCAGGAAACACTCTTTTTTTAACCCACATCCTCACCCTGATGGCTGGTGGTGGTTACTTTACAGAGTTATAGAAAGACCCAAATTCAAAAGTGTTGGGGAGGGTAGGAGGAAATGCTCTTTGAATGCCACGCAGGGGGAATACAAAAGGTAGAAAGTATGAAAAAACAATGTTTCTACATACTTCTAGTCTACATAAGAAGCCACTGACTGTATGCCTTGAGGAAAGGGGTGGAATTTTAAACACACACACACACACACACACACACACACACACACACCCAATTTAGGTAGGAGCAACCAAGTTTTTTCCACTCCACTGTTTAATAGAATCTATATCACAAAATCTACATTATTTTTTTACTACAGAATGACCTTCAGGGTGGCATTTGGTCTATGAAAAACAGACATTTGCGAAAAACTAAAATGCCAGTGTTCAAACCGCTACAAATCCTTTATACATTTTAGATTGTAAAGGGCTTCCAGTTTTAATTTTGTATGTTTTTCTTTTAACAAGTAGCCCTGGAATCATTAATGAAATGGTCACTAGGGAGTAAAGACGTTATTGCCACCTGACCTACATAAAGGACAACTGGTTTTAAATTTAATATAGGTTCACATTGGACAGGCTTTATTTTCCTAGCGATGAATAAACACATGATCAAGTAAGAATCTGAAAGTGATCTTGAAGTATACCATGAGACAATATGCTTTTCTTAATTATAGACTCACCTTATGCTGTGCAAGTTGTGTTTTTATTTTGTCTGGATCATTGGCAATTTCCAGTTCAGAATCCAAAGACTTTTCTGACTCTTCTAGCCACTCCATAAGTTTACTCCAAGCTTCATGGAACTGTAGAAGAAATACACATCTTTGTCCAGAAAATTCTGAAGCATACTACATTTGAAATCTAGTATATTTTTTAAACAAAAATTAATATCAATGGAAATGCTGAAAATTATTAATTCCAAATTTCCCTTGAAGAAGAGAAAAGTAATGCTTTCATTAGCAAATTACAAAATGTCTTGATAATGCCTGGCATTTGTCATTGTACTCCATTGTCACTGTGTTATAACTCATTCAACACATCAGCTTTAACGAAAATAAAAATGAGTCTAGAAACAGTAAAGGAGCTCCAAGGAAAACTTCCTTCTTTCCCATTCTTGATCAATAATTAACAAACTCTCAGAAAATGATTTGGGTTTTTTTTGGTCCATTGCTGTCTCTTGACAGATCTGTGTTTACTTCTACCTTAAGAAAGAGAAACAAAACGTGGAGGGAGAAGTATAAAGCTTGTAAACAGGTTTTTAAAAGTATCAATAACAAAAAGAGGCTGTCACATTCCTACATAACACAAAGACAGTTCAACATCTTTATTGCTGCTATCAAAATCCTCAAATTAATGCCTATGCTTTAGATACTGGTTTTATATGTACAAGCATCCAGAATACTTGAGTTCTACCAAAATATAATTCTGTTTGGGAACTAGAACCTTGCAAACATTCTGGTGCTATATATATTTGATTTCAGCTACAGTCTGTTTTCTGTTTATTATAAAGAATTAGCAGGTACTATTGTGAAATTGGTTATAAATTGTTTATCATAATAAACTTAAGTGAACGGAAACATAACAGAAACTTAAGTAATCAAAATAAAATCAGTAGTATACCAAAGCACATTAATAATGAAATAACAAAAAGATATCTAACAGTAAGAACACAATAAGGGCAGAAAATCACAAAGCGCCAGGGCCCACAAGACATTATCTAATTACAAACTTACTCTCCCTGCACATCCCTCCCACAACTCTAATCAATTTAAACAGGAAAAAATGGAGGCCAGACAGGCACACAAATTGCCAGAGTCTGAGAACTATGACCAATATGTGAGCCCAAAACTGAGATATTTCAAAGAAAAAGAAAAAATTAAAGAATCAGCTAGTCCAGGTGTTAAGGAGTTTGACCCCAACTAATATAGGCTATAATAGTTGGATGGTAAGTTCAACAATATAAACACACAGACTCTAACTGAGCCCAAAACTGAGATATTTCAAAGAAAAAGAAAAAATTAAAGAATCAGCTAGTCCAGGTGTTAAGGAGTTTGACCGCAACTAATATAGGCTATAATAGTTGGATGGTAAGTTCAACAATATAAACACACAGACTCTAAGGCTGCTCTTGCTTTCCAAATTATTTTTAAGCCATATAAGTACAGGAAATGCTGTGCATTTGCATTGAGAACTGTAGAAAATCTTTATAAAGTTAATTAAACAAAGTGAGAAAGTAAAATTGATTAAACAGAGAAAGGAGAAAGAAGGTAAGCAACTGGCTACCGGTATCCAAGAAACCTATATAAATTAGATGCTCATAACTCAGGAAACGCCTGTATTATAGATGGCATTGCACCACATAATGTAGAAAGAACAATGTCAGGCTGAGAGTCAGGGAGAAATTGGGAAAGGGCCGCAAAAAAAGTTTACATTATGTAATGATAAAACAAAAGAAAAGAAAAAAAAATTAGAGACAAATTTGATTCCAGAGACTGACTTGTAATGCTGAGCATTTCATGTCTCCCACTCAAAAAGGAATAGAGGGCATGTAACCTACAACAGTGTAATCTGTCACTTCTAAAGCCTTTAAAAATTTATACTGATAGCTTTAAACATTGAAATGCTTGACTCCCATGACATCATTTTGCATCACCCAGCTGTGTCTAACTCCCCCAAACAATGGGTGACACCACCAATGCCAGAAGAATGCAGCTGAATGGGGCAAAAAGAGTAATTATAAAATTCAGCCTCAATATTACACTAAGTTTCTAATAAAAAATCAAAGATATTAACAAAAAAAAGACATATGCCAAGCAAGGTGGGTAAGTCTCTCTTTTCTGTGGAGTACACAGACATACAGAGACACATAAATTACCTCTTTTCTGTGTTTAGTCTAGAACAGAATGTTAATAACAGGTAGACCGAGTAAGGAAAGTTCCTTATGAGACTTGTGAGATCCTCTAGATTAAATAAAAAAGCAGCTCCCCCAAATTCAAAGTGAGATGGAGCTGTTATCAAAATATTAGAGAAATAATGAAGGCTTGTCAATGACTGTTCAGAGAGGTAAGGAGTGACAACCAACTTAGACATAGAATATGCCTTTCCAGAAAGCTGGCTGGAGGGCTACATGTCTGGCTCTCAGTTCTGAGAGTTTGTAAAGAAAGTCTGGCTTCGGAACTAAACAAAAGGTAGCAATTTAATACAGTATGATGCCTCACTTTGAGTATGAGAGCGGAGGTCAAAAGGACAAAGGAAAAACAAATAAACCCAATAAAAGAAATGTTGAGCTTCTTTTTGGGCCTTAATATAATAGCCCATCTATGAAGTCAAGCTGTAATCAGTCTTTTCAAGACTAGTCCCCAGGGCATGAAGTTGCTGCCAGGTCAAAAGTGATGTCAGCATTCAAACTTAGGGCACAGCCCTCTTAGGAAATAAACACCGTGGCTCTGTGCCATGATTGTTACACCCAACGCAGCCTGCAATAAAAGAACTTTAACAACAGATACTTCAACAGCTAGATCTGATGTATTTCCAAGTTCAGAGAATTTTTATAAAGGTTTATTACCTGCTTGGCCCTCTTCCTTGCATCATCCAAAGATCTTCCTCTTTCTACCAACCGTTGAACCACTTTTTCCCATCGACTTTGCACACTAATAAGTAGATTCTTAATTAAGACAACATCTTGTTTCTGACTGAAATATTTCAGATGGGTTCCAGTTTTGTCCAGCTCTATTATCTGCTCACGGTGAGAATTTACTTCATTGGCAAAGACCTTTCCCCCAAAAAAGGACATAATTAGAAACAAGTGAAAAAAGGATCAATCTTTAAAATGCTTCTAGTGCCATAAAGCTGAAATCGTTTGAAAGGACAAAAGAAAGTTTTCAAACTACCAAATTCATGCTCCTGACATTAAAACAGTCTGGCATCTGAAAGAGGAATGATATCCATTTGAGTCACTACATACCTTGTGTTCATCAATTTGAAACAAGACCGTGTCCAAGATAAGACTTGGTCGAGAAGCTATATTTAGGGTCTGTTCAGCCTGGGTAAGCCAGTTGATGAAGTCTTGGAGAGAATTGTGGAACTCCATTGCCAAGTTGAGGGCCTCTTCCAGTTTAATCTGTGAAGACAGATTATTTAGCATTTGATGTTTAAGAGTTTTGGTCATTTTACGTGTTTGTTTCAGTTTAACCATTCTCTGGCAGATTCTTTTCCCACCTCCACTTTACTTATGCACAACTATATTAACTAAACAGCTTATGAATATAATGGGCCTTCACTAAAATACTGGAAAACCATGCTCCTTTAAGTTTAGCAAGAAGCATTTCACTGCAGTTTAAAAATTTTTAATATATACTAAATCATGTTTTTTGGGCATATAACCACAGAATACAATTACTAAACAGAATCATACAATTAATTTTTGGAGTTGAAATACTGTGAAATGTACTACTGTATGCTCTATCAGTGATGGCATATAATCTAGTACTCCTAGACTATCATTTTTCTCATAGCATTAAACAGTAAAATTGAGATTTCTTAGATTATTGTTCTTGTGGTTTTAAAAAAAGTGACCCTAAAACATATTCATAATTTAGCATAAATTTTAATCCCTTCCTCATGGATTTTTATGTGCTTATAAAATACATACACAATCGTCTCACTCTCTTGCTCTCCCTCTCTCCCTCCCCCCTACACATAGCCCTTAGTTACATAAGTATGATTAGAATTAACAATCCAGAATTTGAGTGGTTCACAAAATTTAAAAATATACCTGAGTAATACTTGATCTATGATATATCTTTATCTATATTGAATAGATTCCTTTAACTCTGTTCTCTTGTGTGAAAATAGAATACTATTTTCAACTGACCCCACGAAACCTCCAAATGTACATAAAAAAGAAATTTAAATATGAATCATGAAAAGTTCCACTCCTGATAGTTCTACTCAGAAATAAGGCAAAACCCATGAAATAAAACATCTAAAACACGGATTGTATTACATTAAAGCACATACTTTCCTTTCGTTGAGTTTGGTTTCCACCGATTCCCATTTTTCTTTCAAGTTATTTATGTCTTGGTCAATATTTGTCTCTGCAGATTTGGGGCACCTTGCAAGCATCTGCTGGCCTTTCTGCATCAAACTCTTGTATGTCTCTTCTTTAACAGCAAAGGCAGCACAGACTTCCTAAATTAAGACACCACCAAGTTATATCACTTTTAAGAGAATAAAATCTGAGAGTTCTATTTTTCTAGATCATCAGTCCCAAGCCCCTCATGATATATTTCTCTCTTTCTGGCATAGAGAACAATACTGACACACTTAAACTTTTCACTGTATCGAAACAACACCTAAAACTATAGTCATATCCTGCTTACTGATAAATCTCAGAAATGGTGCTATCATTAGCAATCCAATTTAGCATGCTAAGGTTTGAAGCAATAGTTTAAAAATGCTGCCAAGTGGGCCAGCCCCGTGGCTCACTCAGAAGAGTGCGGTGCTGGTAGCGCCGAGGCCGCAGGTTCGGATCCTACATACAGATGGCCAGTGCGCTCACTGGCTGAGTGTGGTGTGGACCACACTGTGCCAAGGGTTGCAATCCCCTTACCGGCCAAAAAAAAAAAAATGCTGCCAAAAAAGATTTCACTGTATAGTAACTATTCAGCTCTGTGACCTTGGGCAAGTCATTTAACCTCTCTGAGCTTCAGTTTCCTCCTCTGTAAAATGAGGTGCTCTTGTAAGGCTCTTCTTGTACTAAGATACAATTACTATAACATTTTGTTGGTATAATCTTACTCCGTATTCAGAAAACATGCAAGGGATAGAAAGTAAAGAACCAGTACAGTAGGACATTTAAGTTGATTAGTCAGACTAGAAACACAAGAGCCAAACTTGTGGTACTATAAGAATTGTTTCCATTCATAACATTTTTAAAGCTTCCAACTGGAATGCAGTGTGTATCTTCTATAGAGAACATAAGAAAATATTGCATAAACAAATTCAAAATTTAAGATCAATGAAACAACAGTTGCCCATCATTTAAAAAATTAAAATCAGTCCTATTTTACCGATTCAATTATAATGTGGGCCAAATCATAGCTCCCACTGAAAAATGGTATATTCTGTGTCTAGCTAACATTTTCAACTTTATAATTAAAAAAAATTGAGATATAATTTATATACTATAAAGTTCACCATTTTAAAGTGTACAATTCAGTGTTTTTTAAGTATATTCATAAGATTGTGCAATCATTACCACTAACTTGCGAGCACTTTCATACCTCATAACTTAACATATTTACAGTATCACCTACTAAAAGTTTTAAATCCTAAAGCAAAACTTTCATTTATAGCTAAAAACTTAGGGAAACATAACACTGTGGGTTTTGTACCTTTCTTCATTTCTAGCACAACCAAATCAAAAGAACATTAATGAAATGGTACTAAAAATATCCATAACTTTTCAGAATTCTTTAAATCAGAATTTCTTAACCTGTGAATTATAGAGGGTTATAGCAAATTCATTTTAAATATCCCTCCCAAACCAAATATGCTGATATGTAACATTTTTCTAAAAGTAAGGTATTCTAAAGATAATCTCATTGCTTTCGAGTTCTTACTTATATTCTTCCAAATTAACATTTCAAAAATATTTATATTATTGGAGAATAATCCCAAGCATCTACTTGTTCAAGAGTTCATTTCACTTATAATTAATGGACACTGTAACAGCTAAGCAAGTACTTCCAGGAAAGGAAGGAGCTATCTGGAAGTCACTCAGGTTTTATGGAAAAGGAAGACAAGCACTTCCAAGTTATTGTTTAGTCAATAACTTTTTCAGTGAAACAAAAGGGTGTCCTGTGTCACCACAAAATAACAACAATAAACCACACACAATAATTTTCTAAAACAATAAATATCCCTTAAAGATTTCTACAAAATTCTATACTGGATTAAAAGGATTTATATTAACTGTTCAGGACAACGGTGAAATGAATAAGAAGTCACCTATTGTCATAATCTGTTTTATTTCTTTGCAACATCTACAAAGTGGTCACTCCTCTCCAAATCACCAAATTCAAAATTATTGCCAAATAAGTGCAGTTTTATTAAGATCTTACAAGGTTAGACATCTACTAAAGAATGCAGACTTTCATGTTACAATGGCCCATTTCTGTTGCCAAATTTCAAAGTATTTCTTTTATCTCCCAAGATGCTAATTATCACAATGTGAATTTCAGCAAAATCATGCAGATTCACAAGTGTAAAAATTAGAGGAATTGTTTTCAAAATCTGAAAGACTGTTTTCTCTTAGAACTTTTAGAACTGAATTATAATGGGACATAAAATGTCAATAAATGAAAGGTAGTCTAAATTTAATTTGCCATCCCTTACTGCTATCAAAAAAAGGCCAGTGTTTCAAGTTTCATTACTTTTCCCTCCTCATTCTTAAGAGTTGACAGTGCCACAGAATCTGGGTGGGAACAGCCCACAGGCACAATGCTCCCCAGATTGGACAATGAAACAAAACAAAAGATCTAGTGTAGGTGTGAATCTAAAGAGAAAGGTCTATCTTGACTACAAAACAAACAACAAACGAACAAAAAAAAAAGATAAAGTTCTATCATCATAAAAACAAGCAGCTTTAAAAGAATAAGAACATATTTTGTAGCCTTCCTTGAAACCAGGTGAGAATATCATGTTTATAACAATAATTTATTGGTCAATTCTGATTATTTTGGAGATTTTTCTTTATACTTCAATGCACAGCAGTTTGTAATTACACAGTGTTATATTACTACCCATACAAGCTTATTATTTCGTGGGAGAAGATTTGCTTCTAAAAAATGTCTAGACTTCTAAAACCTCTTTTCACTTACTGACACACTAACCTTTGAAATAAAGAATAGGTTCCGACTTGAAAAATTTAATCAATAAATGGTGCTGTTCCTAGCACACATACACAGTGATTTCTGCCATAAAACTGTATATTCTCCCATGATTTATGTATCACCAGGGCCCACACCAAATGGTCAGTTTGTTAATCTGATGCTAGAGCTGTAGGAAATACTGTACTTACCATATGGGCATTAAGCTGCTCCTTGGCTGTTTCTGGTAAACCTCCCAGAGGTTTGGATGCCAACAGATGTCGCTCCGTGTCTGTCAGCCACTGCTGCAAATCCTCAATTTCCCCATGGAACCCTTTGGCCTGCAGTGATAGGGAGTTTTAAGTTTGGGCCACAAACACTGTTACTTTCAAGTAGAAAACAAGGTTCAAATAATCTCAGCCTGCTCAGTCTCTCTATGCATGCTTAAGCACAGCCAGGGGCCACTAGGTTTGCCTTGTCTTTCTCCATCAGGATAGCTCTGGTCGATAAGAGTATTATGCTAAGAACGAGAAAGCTGCGCTCTCCTCTGCTCTGTTCTTTATCCCACTTATTTTCACCCTTTTCCTTGAGGTACAAAAGTTAAACAGTGGTCTGTGAACTAATGAAAGAATTCCATGCCATTTTGGTCTTGAATGCTATAGAAAGTTTCAGAACTTGTTCTCTTATTTACCTGGCGCAAGGCACCATCCAGCTGCTGCTTCCTCTGTTCTGTTTTTTCCAGAATAGTTTGCCAGCGTTGATTTAAAACCTCTAGCTTGTTCTGAAGGTTGCTTGCTTCTTCTCCTGCACTTGATTCAATTAGATCATTTCCTGCTTTGTTAACGGCTTCCACTGTGGACTGATGGGCTAATACATCATTTTGGAGCACCTGAAAATATTAAGATAACACCACATTTACTAGTTTGTAACGTGTTAAGATCACTTACATTGCAATTGTTTTATTTTCTGATTATCAAACATTCTGAAACAAAAACATCATATAAATAGAATTTTAATATTAAGTTTTAAAATGATAGACTTGCTTTCCCTTACGCTTCAGCTTTCCTGGATACACTGTTAACCTCCCAACATCCCCTGAAATGACTGTGTGAGGACATTTCCCTAGTTATTCTCATTAGAATGACCTGGTAATTGGTGACATTAAGTATCCAAAGATTATAATTAAACAGTTAAAAAATTTACTTGATTGAAGCTCATCTTAATTAAACTTAATCTTCATGACTTAATTTTTAAAAATTTTTACTCCTATATATACATTTTCAACTATAAAATGATCATATCTCGAAGATATGCAATGTCATATCTTACAATTAGCATTCTAAAAGGGAAAAAAATAACCACAGAATATTCCTTTATTTTCTCTCATTGAGGGGCACTAGAATTAACTGCCAAGTTAAAAGGAATCCAGGGGCCCCTAACACTAAAGGGAAAGAGATTTCACCACATATCAGGGATACTCAAGCCCAACATTCCAAGGTTTAGCTGTTCTCTTACTAGACAATACATATATGAAATGCTTACTACAGATCCAGCAAATTATGCCTTCCTTTTATGCAGTGGAAAAATAAGAATGGACTAGTAATGCTTAAAAACACTAAAATGGGGGCCGGCCCGGTGGCGCACTGGAGAGTGTGCCGCTTGGGAGCGTGGAGGCGCTCCCGCCGAGGGTTCGGATCCCATGTGGAGACCGGTTCCCGCTCACTGGCTGAGCGCGGTGCATGTCGTATAACTTCGTATAATGTATGCTATACGAAGTTATTACGGACATGTCAAGCCCAACATTCCAAGGTTTAGCTGTTCTCTTACTAGACAATACATATATGAAATGCTTACTACAGATCCAGCAAATTATGCCTTCCTTTTATGCAGTGGAAAAATAAGAATTGACTAGTAATGCTTAAAAACACTAAAATGGGGGCCGGCCCGGTGGCGCACTGGAGAGTGTGCCGCTTGGGAGCGTGGAGGCGCTCCCGCCGAGGGTTCGGATCCCATGTGGAGACCGGTTCCTGCTCACTGGCTGAGCGCGGTGCGGGCGCAACACTGAGGGTTGCGATCCCGTTACCGGTCAGTAAAAAAGACAAAAAGGAAAAAAAAAATAATAAAATAAAAAAAAATAAAAATAAAAACACTAAAATGGGGCAAGAATGGTAAGTACAGAAAGCAGCCCCAAGGCTAAAAATAATCAATTTGTTTTACTGAAAAAGAGTTACTCTTTAAAGAACAAATACAGCATGAGTAATATTTTCCTTTCAAAAAGACTATGCTTACATTTTTGAAAACCAGAAGAAACCTCCCTGTAATGTTAGTAAAAGTCGATGATAACCCTATCCTATACCCATTGACTTAGGGTTGGCATCTCTCATCCTATATAAGACATCACACATCTGGAAGGAAATCCCAGACCAGGGAGGAGAGCAGTATAACCATCTGAGATCACAGTTTCTCTGCCTGTATTTATTCATTTTCTGAGGCATCTGGGGAGGGTTTTTCAAAGGCTATGAAAACAACTGAGTAAGGAGTTATCTTTATAGAAAGCATGTACTTTGATATGTTAACAGTAGGAATTATTCTCAAAATGTAAGATTAACTACCCCCATGGTCAAAATATAAAAGATAATTCTTTTTTAATAGAATTATCTTAAAATTTAAAAGAATTTAAATAATTCTTTTTAAATGGTCCAAGTTCTGCTACAAAGTCCGAGCCTAGGAGCAGAAAAAAGAGAGAGAAGGAGGGAAACATTTCCAACTCTGCTGGAAATTCTGAGTCCCCTAACTTTCGATCTTTGAGAAATGGGAAAAAAAAAACAGATAAACAGAATTGAAAGTTCCCGGGCCGGCCCGGTGGCGCACTGCTACAGTGCGCCGCTTGGGAAGTGTGGCGGTGCTCCCGCCGAGGGTTCGGATCCCACATACAGACTGGCCGCTCACTGGCTGAGCGAGGTGCGGGAGCAACACCGAGGGTTGCGATCCCGTTGCCGGTCCCGGTCCGGTACGGGCGCGACACTGAGAGTTGCGATCCGTTGCCGGTCACGAAAAAAGACAAAAAGGAGAAAAAAAAAAAAAAAAAAGAATTGAAAGTTCCCTACTGATCCCCTGCCAAAATAACTGGATAGTGTGCCTCGTTCTTCTACCTCTACTATATTAACCACAGTTCCTGTCATTGATGGATATTACTTTTAAGACAACTGCTAGATTTATAAATATGTAAATGCATCTATAAACTCATACTGTGAGAATAAACATTATTTTCATGCACTCAGTCTGACCAGTCATTATTGCTTAAAGCAAAGGTATAATGTAGCCATTAAATAATGAAGCAGGCTTCTATATAGACACTAATTATGCAAAATAAATATTAACTGCTTAATCAAATACAGCTGAATAATGACTATCAATGTAGACAGAACCAGATAAAAGAGGAAGAAAAGTTTAAATTAGGAAACTATTACTGTGTAGAAAAGTATGAAAGAAGAGCTGAAACAATAGTCAAAAACTATATATCATGATCTTAAAGTGCTAAAAACCTACCTTTTATTTTAAGAATGTTAATAAACATATAAAATAAACATTTTGTATTTGATAATCTAGGAACATTTATTTAAGGTTAGGATTTAGGACTTTGAAGATACCACTATTAATGTGAATATTAAAGTCTATGAAAGATAGTTGAATATAAAATAAACTCTACTGTGCAGAACCTTTCATTCATTAAGTCTAATGACTTAAGGAACAGGGAATGATCTATTAAGAATTGTCATCAAATGTCACGAAGGTGACAATGACATAAAACTGCTTTGCATATATCTCTTAAGATAAAAACTTTCAATTTATAAGTTTTAAATCAAGTGCAAGACATAAAACTCTTTTACACATAATAAATATTTTTAAAAATGAATGCAGGAAAAAAAGAGAAGACACAAAAGCCAGTCAAAAATAAAAGTGACACAGAGACAAAAGGACAAACCCCAACATGAGAGATGAACAGACAGAATTATGTTAGACATGCCAAACAAGCTGCAAGTGAGAGAGATTTGGAGAAATGACCAGAGGAAAAACACACACAAAACCTGTGGTGGAACAACAACATTTTGAGCTTGTGATTTTTTTAGGCTCTGCCCAACAACTTTTAAACATAGTCTAAGTTAACTAACCATAACAAGTATAATTAAGGATTTAAATCTTTAGTATTTGCCATGCAATCCTAATAAAATTTAGCCACAAATTTCCTGCACTTGCTGTGTTTGATAATAATTGCCTTAAACAAAGAGAAAAATATTTTGATTATGATCTTTTAAGAAGTGTGTTTTAAGTAGTTTAACCTTTACTTATAAATGTCCAATATGAACTTGTGTTAAAACCATAAAAAATAAAGATGCATAAAAAAGACACATACTGAAAAAAATCTGATGACACTAGAAATCCATAGAGAAATAACAGCTACGTACGTGATGCTTGGCAAGTTCAATTTCAATGGCTTTAGGGTCTCCTCCAACAGGTTTCTGTTCACCTAGCAACCCCTCGGTGTGTGTCAGCCATGCCAAGAGCTCATCCAGAGCATGCTGGAACTGACCCAGTGCTAGCAGAGCACCTTCCAGCTTATGCTACAGAAAGAGTGGAGAGGAAGACAATCCATTTATGAATTCATAACGGCATACATTTATAAAACAAGGGCAAATAATCAATTATTTCATGCTGCATAAATCCATAAGCATAAGCAATCAAGCCTAATCATCATATCCTTCTACATTTTAAGTCTGATGCTCTTTGTGGTTAAAAAATGGCATATGAGAAGCAGGAAGAGTTCTAATGAAATACGACAATTTGGAGGCTTCAAAAGTTTATGTACAGAATCACCTAATTTTATGTTTAATATTTATTTTACATTAATATCTGAAATTGAAAACGTATAACTTCTTAACAGAAGTCTTGGTACTTACCTGTCTGTTGATAATTCGCTCATCCAGGCTATCCCATATCAATTTCAGTTCCATTAATGGGTCTTGAACAGTGTGTTTGTCACTCTCTTCTGTTACTTTCTTCAGCAAAAGTTCTGCTTGATGGTTCAATCTTTCCATTTCTATCTGTTGTTGATAGGCCTCTGACTTAAATTGCTATTTTTTTAAAAAAAGATACACAAGGAAAATATTTTAAGAATCAATACCTTTTAAAAGAATTCTATGGCTTAGATCTTTATTCTAATTTACACTTGTTACTGAGGAGAGGTAAAGAGGAATATAAATCTAACATGATACTTATCAATGAAAGACTTACAGACTAAAAAATAAGGGAAATCTCTCTTTTACTCAATGTTTTCTGATGGAAAGATGTTCCTATTTATAATTCTGATATTTTATTTTTGCTCTCTACAATAAAGAATTAACAAATTTCAAGGCTGAACTTATTCCAATATCTATTATATACGTTCCAAAAATGAGTTTTGAAATTATAGAAAAGGGGGAGTTCTGGTCAAGATGGTGGAATAGACGGTCTCCAGCATCACTCTCTCCTACCAATCAACCAAATTTACAACTATAAAAATGTAACATCAGCCAAGCAGGGGCCGCTAGAGCTCAGGGGAAGAGGAGCAGAGACCTACGGAGTTCATGAAGGCGGGAGAAACTACGATGAGAGAAAGAAAAAGCTGCTGTGAGCATTTCGGGCTACAATGGCTTTAAGGCTCGAGCTGATGAGAGCATGGAGCAGGAGCTAGCAGAAGCCGCAGCTGTGCCCTTCAGATGGAGTTACTTGGAAGCAGCAGGAGAGAAGAGGGCCTTGGTGGCCCCCAGGACAGCAAGACCACTAATAGGGTTCCTATGGATCCATGCAGGAGCGAGGAGCCAGAACAACTGAAAAAAGGGAGCCACTCAGAGGCCAGTGAGTCATCGCAAGTGGCCAGAGCAGGGCCCATCGCATGGGAAGTATTTGGAGCATGGGCGGTGGGCGAGATGAAAATACTGGGAGAACACTGGGACACAGCAAGGACAGCCAACCTGCACCCCAATCAGCACAGGACCACTCAGAGGAGAATGGTCAGGAATGCAGAATTGCATGGGGTGCAGTTTGATGAAAAAACTCAGGCCCAGATCAGAGATTCTACAAAACTCAGATCTACCAGGTCTCTGGAGAGCCGGAAGTACCTATAAGGTCAACCATTAAACCCTGAGCTGCACAAAAAGCCCTCCCTAGGAAAACAGCAGCAAAGTAGCAGTTTAGCTAAACAACACAGCTCAAGTACTGGTTCCCACAAGAAGTTCCCCCATGTTAGAAGCAAAGGACAAAAAATTAGTTCCAGCCCAGGCACACCACCAGCACCTTGGGGCCTGCTCAGTGACCAGAGGCATGGAGAAGGGGACCAGACCTCTCTCCCACAACCAGGCACACTGCACTAGCACCTCGGGGCCTGCCCAGGGTCCCAGGGCATGGAGAAGGGGTCTGGACCACTCTCCCACAACCAGGAACACCGCACCAGTGCCTCCGGGCTCGCTCAGTGACCTGAGGCATAGAGCCAGGAACTGGACTCTCCTCCCACAACCAAGCACACCACGCCAGCACCGCGGGGCCCACCTGGTCCAGAGGCATGCAGAAGGGGACTGGACCTCTCTCCCACAACCAGACACATTGCGCCAGTGCCTTGGGGCCCAGCTGGGGACCTGAGACATGGAGAAGCAGACTGGACCTCTTTCCCACAACCAGGCACACCAAGCCAGTGCCTCAGGTCCCGCCCAGTGACCTGAGGTATGGAGCCGGGGACCAGACCCTCCTCCCATACCAGGCACAGAACGCCAGCACCTCGGGGCCCACCTGGGTACCCAAGGCATGGAGAAGGGGACCAGGCCCTCCTCCCACAACCAGGCACATGGTGCCAGCACCTTGGGGCCTGCCCAGAGACCTGGAGCACGGAAAAGGGGACCAGACCGCCCTCCCACAACCAGGCACACCAAGCCAGCTCCTTGGGTCTTGCCCGGAGACCTGAGAAATGGAGAAGGGGACCAAATACACCCACAACCAGGCATACGGCCAGTGCCAAGGAGCATACCAAAAACAGCACCTCCACGTGGGTGACCCAATACAGCCACCACAATAACCATGGCTGCTGCAAAAGTGGCTAGACGCCACAGCCACCACGCAGATGGTCTGCCAACCACGGGAGTGCATTCACACAAGAAGAGTCACCAGCAGAGACAAAGAAAAGAAGAGGATGTCTTTTTCCACAAAACCCATTTTAGAGTGACAGAGGAAGTATCTGCTCTATGATAATATTGGGGGACCTGATCACATCTATCAGCATAGGACAGATCATCTAGGCAACAAATTAACAGAATAACCATTATTCTTTCAGAAGGAGAGAAGAAATCTAGGGCAATTAGAGTGGGGAGGGGGAGGAAATGGGGCAAAGGGAGAGATTGGACAAGGGGCATAAAGAATAATTACCATTTGTAACAACATATATGCTAGTAATATTGATTTAATCAACATATCTCAATGTTCAACCCCAAAAATATGTATAATTGATTTTGATTCAATAAATTAAATAAATAATTTTTTAAAAAAAGAAATTATAGAAAAGAATAAAATAAAATATATAGACATATAAAAGCCAGGAAAAATGTCTTAAGAAACTCAAATTAATATTTCCTGCTCTAAAATATACACATATCTTGCATCCCCCTGATGATTTTGTTTTCTGTGGCTGTGCTGTGTTCATTAATATTTAGTTATTCCTATGCTTCATCCAATGCTAACATAGAATAACATTATTATCTCCCCTGGTGCTTTCTAAGGCACTGTCATATATTTAATAACCTTGGCTTTGCCAACCAAAAGGTTAGCAAATGGCTGCTTGTAATAGAAAACTGTCCCTTCATAAAATACTTATTTCAATATGTAATAGTAAATAATTAATGGCTAAGCATTTTCTTAATTTTTTTTCAAAAATATGAAAATAATAATTAAAAAATAACTAAGCGAGCAATTGCTACATTCAAGTAACTCCAAGAAACTTACAAGAAAAATAATTTTATCCTCAGTTTACACTGAGGACACAGAAGTAAGACAGATAACTTTTTCAAGGTCATTTGGCTAATAAGTGTATGAACTAGAACCTAAACTCAGAAAAACTGATTTCAGAGTGAACACTTCTAACCAGGCTGTTATATGAAAACCTCTGAGTATCCAAAATAAATTCTCCTCCACACCCGTAATTGTACATAAAGCATATCAGGTGTTTACAACATGACCAGATAAAGTAAAAACAGACAAAAACTCAATCTAATGACAGTAACAGTAAAATTACCAAAAAGAAAAGTGTTTCTAAATGAAATATTCTACATCACATTTAGAGATTAAATGCTATAATTTTAAAATTTTACATTAAAATCTAGTAGATGGAGACCTAAAATTAGGATGGAAATAGCTGATCCCATTCTGATGACTGGCACATAGGATTTCAAAGAAGAAAGATACTAGCCAATTTCATGTCTGGAGTTCACAAACCACAAACACAAAAATTACAGAGGAAAGTGATGGAAAACAACAAACATTTACAAAACGAACATTTTGGGAAACACGATTATAACATGGATATGTCTTTAGCCCGATAGACTAAATGAATTAGAACACACTGAAAATATAAAAATGTTGCTGTATGTCTATTGACAATAATACATTACTGAATAATAAAAGCAAGTTATAAAAATCCTTACAGTATGATCTAAATGTGTCTCTTTCTACACACACACACACACACACACACACACACACACACACACACACACACCTCACCCCATCCTGTTCCAAAATAAGTATAGCTGAAAGACTATAAATCAAATGTTAAGAATGGCTGTCCCTAGGTACATAACATCATTCTGGCTGACTTCAAAAAATTTTTCTCCTGTTTGCTTATTTGCATTTTCTGATTTTTCTATAATAAACAGGTACTAATTTAATAAAAAGAAAACAACTAGTATGTTATTACCTTTATTTAGTGAGCACTTATATACTGCTTACTATGTGCAGGCACTATAGATATTAAAGTAGTTTTATAATCGAATTGTAATATCTCAATTACTGTAAAATAAATAAATTTGTGTAAAAAAAATCCCATGAATCAAGAACTTAAAAATGTAAGGAAGTCTTTGATAAATTCGTCAGCCCCCACACATACCTTTAGCTCTTCAATCTGCTGCTTTACAGTTTCAAGATCTGTTCCGATTGGAGACATTGAAGCTAATTTACCACCTGCAATATCTACCCAATCGAATATTGCCTGTAAGACACATTAGTCCATGTGTTGTTATAATAGCACATTTGTAATTGCTACAACATCTCAAGTGTTATAAAAAAGTACAATCATAAATCTACAAAGATATTATGGATTTAGTCTACTTTATAAAAAAATTAAGATGGTCAACCTAAGTAAGTAAAAGCAGCAATATACTGAAACAGTGGTCCCAAAAATTAAATAGATGTAACTTCCAATTCTGCATCCAAGTTTGCAAAAGAAAACTTTCAGGATTAATGAAAAAATCGGTTTACCACTTTAACAATATATTATATATTTATATATAGTATAAGAATAAATGTCAATGTAAAATTTCTTTCTACTACTTAAATATTATGAAGAGATATATATATTTTTTCTGATTAAGTAAATTCACTGTATGTGTGTGTTTACTTATTTCATAATCCCACAAATATTTGTGCTACTTATTTAAAAGTAAAATCTCTGCTTAGGAAATGTTTATTCTTTCATTTTTATTCAATAAAATTTTTTTAAAAACACTGAATATGATCTTAAAAAAAAAAAACAGAACTTCCAGAAAAAGTTCATTTGAAAAATTTTTTGTAAATTCAATCACAGGAAATAAAATTCTCTATTTTATTACATCTACTTAAAAGGCAACCTATGCAAATACATTGAAAGAAAAAGATTTAAACTTACCTGTTTATTCAAATAAGCAGTAATTTTATTGTTTAGCAGTAGAGCAAAATACGTGGCTCAACCAAACTCTTACATATTATTTAGATTAGCATTAAAATCCTGCACATATAAATGATTAGCATTAAAACCATTACTGTGAATTGCAACACAGGCTTCAGAATCTCCTACTTTACCTATTCTTTTTAGGTAATATAAATATTCTAAAAAGGCTCAACTCATATTTTTTTCAGGTACTGAATATATAACAAAACTGTTTTGTACTTTTAAAAAGTTGTCAGACCATTAGCAGGGAGGGACATCTTGGAAAATATCTAATATTTTTAAGTTATCATTAATCGACCCTGATTAAGAGCTTGGGAAATAAAATATATTATACTTTACCATCAAAGCTTGAAACCTCTGGGGCATCTGGAGCTTTCAACATCTGGTAACAGCTAGCCAGAGCCAGGTAATAAGTCAGCTGCCCTTGGTTACCGCAGGTGATGCTACTAACGCACAACCAACAGGACCTATGACGGGCCTTGTTTTTACAGTAGTGATGATGAGTCTGCATAAGTCATGGTGTCTTGCCTGTGACCTCCAACATGGCTGCATATGGTGGCAGTGCCATCTCCAGCCACTGAAGAGAGTGCAACTTAATGACTTGGAAAAGGTATGTGAAAATCATGACCTGGCCTCACAGACAGAAGGATAGAGCACAATTTAGTTACTGGCCATTGATACCTAACCAATAAATAATCACTTTGGTTAAAAAAAGGGGAGGAGGTGTTACAATAATGTGTTATTTGTAGCGAATTTTTTCATATATTTCCAAAGTTCAAAAAACCTTTCAGCTGGCATAAAGCCTGGCTTGTGACATTTAGTTTTACAAATATAGAAATGGAGAGGCATAATGAAAAAGGAAAAGATGTTCTCATCTGAGCTTTAAAAATAATATTCACATAGTGTATGGAAATACTTTGAAAGGCTTTTTCCACACGGTAAGAGGGATGAAAGATTAAATTCCAGCCTGTTAGGAAATGGAACAAAGTGAAGGAAGGTAGGAAGAGAAATAACCCTAAGTTGGCCTCAACTAACAAGAGAATTTTTAATATTAAATAAAACAACCTATAAATGGTTAATGAACTGAATGAGAACTCTTAAGAGATGTGAAAAACAACTATTAAATGAAATTATATGTATGGAAAAGAAGAAAACACTTTTTATATACCAGATTATGACCTAATAAAATAAAAATCTATTTTAGTACATGGAGAACATGGGCTTCAATTCAAATTTCTTTACTTCTGACTTTAGTTAAACTTGGTGATATTTTTAGATAGTGTTTACTCCTTTCATCTTATCCCACTCAACTTGAGAACAGAATTCAGATTCAGTTCCATTTCACTCTCTGGTACTGAGCCATTTATGAAAAATACTGTGTGGGAACATTTACTTTCACTTAAGAAAAAAACATTAATATATTTCTTTGCAAAGCAAATTTCACTGAATGTATGTATGAAAATGCTTTTAGATGTGTATATAAATCTACACGTATCTGAAAGGTCTTCTGAAAGATAAAACATGAATTGAAATACCCAGGGCAATCACAGGAACAGGTCTGCCTACAACTGCATACACACTTGCAGTCTTGGGGCAGTGCCCAGGTGTAAACTTGTAGACATCAATGAGTCCACTTCCTCCTTCCAGCTACGACCAGCAGACACACTGTGACCCCCTCACCTGCAGTCCATCCTGGTACTGAACCGCAGCCTGCATCGCCTCCTCAAGTTTCTCAATCCGGTCTTTCCAAGCTTTATTTAGAGAATCCCATGCTGAATTCAACTACAATATAAATGTTCAAACTCTTTTAGTGTTGTACTTTAAATTTTCAGCTACTTTTAACAAGTATATTTTAGTTAACTAAATTTTTTCAAAACATGCAGATAAGAGTAGAAGAGAAGCCAGCTGTACCTCATCTATACTCTTCTTGACAATGGGTTTATCGGGTTCCCCACATGCAGCAATGAGTTCAGAGCCCAGGTTAATAACGATATCCAGCTCCTCCTGTAGTCCATCTATTTCTTCCCTTATGGCCTAGAATAAGAAAATGACAGCCTTAGAACTTTAAAGAAAACCACACTGAAACTAAAAAGATGTACTCAAAGATACTAATGGTAGTTATTCCTAGGAGGCAGGATTATGATCATTTGTATTTTCTTCTTTCTAAGTTTTTGCAATAAATTTTTTCAAGAAGAATGAACAGAGGAAATATTTTAAAGGAAAAACAGCACTCTGAGCAACAAATGCCAAATGTTTTTTATAAAGACAGTATTTAAGAAATAATAAATAATTAAGACGTACTGTAACAAATAACAGAACAAAATATTAACAATAAAGCATAGAAAAACAGTTTGTTTTCCAAACCAACTGGTTTGGCAATATATATTTAAAATAGACATAAGTAAAATATAAGTACAAAGACTTTACACTAATTATTTGTTAGTAGATTAAGGATGATCTAGCTTTGGATTTACATTTTATGTCATTACCCTAGGACCTGTAAACTACAAAAACACTACAACAGAAATGTGGTATTCTACCTTTGCTCTCATCTTCTTGGTTAAACATATTTATTCATTCAGCAAACATTTAATAAGCATGAACCAAGCCCTAAACTAGGCACAGGGGATACAGAGAAAGACAGATACAGCTATTCTTCTCTAGGGGCCCATGGTCCAGTAGGAAAGGCAGAGGTATAAACAACAGTAAGTCATATTCGTGTAGAGTCCTTTGCACGAGGAGAATATTATAAAAACAGAGATGGACTAACTCTGCTGAGAATATAAGAAAGGATTTTACATGGGGGTACTAATCCAACAGAACCTTGAAGTTGGAGTGGAATTTGCCACAAGAGTGGCAGAGAGAATATTCTAGGGTGAAGAAATAAAATGTGCAAAGGTACAGACGCCAGAAAGAGCAAAGCAGTTTTGGGGAAAGCCACTTTCTAACTACTGGATGAGAAGGAGCTTGGTAAAGGAGCAGTTGGAAAAATGGCTTTGGAAACATAGACCTATTCTAAGGAGTCTGGACTTTATCCAGCAGGCAGTGCATGAAGCTGAGGGGTTTTAAGCAGCAACACAATACAAGAGCTGATCTAGAGAGATGATCGGCATCAAGGCTGGAGGGCTGGCAAGGAAAGAAACTATGCACTTTTGATTGCTTTGGAAGCCAAAAAGAAGAGATAATGAGGCCCTGAAATAAGGCAGAAGCAGTGGGGATGGAGAAAAATTGTTTTATGTATTAGTTTAATATGTAGTCTCCAAGTGAAATTGTGGGTGTACTCTATCTCCTACCACAGCACTATGCATTCCACTTTCAAAACCAAATATAAATTTTAACAGAATAATTCCTAATATTTACCAAAGGGATCCAAGTTTCATTATACCACAACTTATTTTTTTTAATTTAAATAAGATTTTCTGCTTACCTCTGCTGCTTCTTGCTGTTGTTTTACCACCGAGGGATCAATTCCAGGATCCTCAAGGTCTCGGATGAAATCTTGAGTATCTTTAGTGGTAACTACCAAAGACATGTGATCGCACCAGAATTTTTCTGCTAGTTCCATTACATCCAGTAGTTTGGTTTCTCTTTCTTCTACCAGTGTGTGTATGTTCTCCCAAATGAAGACCATTTGGTCAAGCTTATCCTGAATAGCTATGGAGCACATCAATATCAACACGGCACTTGGTTAGCCCCATTTAAGCAATAAAGCAGAATATTTTAGTTCACACAGAAAGCAGGGATTCAATTTGCTAAGTTTCTAAAATTGGACCAAATTTTGGTTGACTCCAGTCTAGTGGGTGTCAATGGGCCCAAAAGCCTATCCTAGACTGTGCAAGATTTATGGGTCTCCTGCTCCTGCTGAGACAAGGCTCTTCCTGACAAAAGCAGATGCTCAAAGCTAAGTGAGCTCAGAGTAAACCCAAGTTTGCCAAGTTTCAAGTTCACCAAGGCTTAATCCCTAAGAAAGGGAGATAACTACCTAAGTATATTCTTTATGCTCTCCAAATCAAGAAAAGTTATCTGCTCAGTGTCAGGAATATAACAATGCAAGAAATATATTTTTGACTTGTTTCTAGAGTACCCTTACCATGAATTTCCACTTTTTTACACAGACCACTGACCTATGCACACGCTCTTCTTTCTGATTCCCAGCTCATACCTCTAAAATGGCTGGCTGTGGTTGCCGTTTCTGTGGCTACGGGACCAGGTATTGCTATGTAAGGTAAGGTAGTGGAGTCAATAATGATGAGAAAAAGTCCCTGGCTGGCCTTATTAACATATGCTTTGACCAACTAGTTTAAAAGACCTACTTTTTGAACTAGTTTAGAACACCTGGTTTTTGTATAATGGCGCACTTTGTATCCAACTGATTGATTCTACAAACATAGGAAGACATTAACAAGGGATTGGTGCACAGAGCCCATCCACCCTACACACGTATTTGTAAACCTTTCTAAGATCTGGCATTATGTTATGCAATTGGACTGTCAGTAAACAGCATGAGAATTTAGAACTGTTTTAAAATTAAAGTTCAATTGTTTCTTCTTTCCAACATCATTACCTTTGGCAGATATGTCTTTATCAGTGCCCCCAGATCTAGCAATCATTTCCTCTCCCCTCTGTTTAAGAGTTTCATACAATGGTTGTAGCTTTTCCATGTCCACTGACACATTCTTATTTTCACTGATTTGCTCTTTGATCTTCTCAACCTCAGCAGAGATGGAAGGTGGCTGCTTCAAACGCTCCACAATGCGTTCCAGACTCTCAAGGATCTGGTCAATCTTGTCATGGAACTAATAGTAAAACAAGGGGATCACTTATGGGGAAAAGAGCTGTAATACCAAATATAAAATTTAAATTAAAAACACCTATATATGTCACAATTAAGAACTAAATCTTAACCTTTTTGTCAACATATCCAACCAAAGAGTACACCAAGCTAGTAAATGAAGACATGGCTAAAATCATGACCTGTATGTACCTCTCTGCATCATATGATTTAGAAGACCAGACTTCGCACCTTATAAGTAATTGAGTATATTCATTAAGAAGTGGTATATGTTAATATGTAATTGGACTACCTGGCAGAAGCATCTATTTTACCTGTTTGCTTCACCTTGTTAAAATTCAAATTAATTTTAAAAATTAAGTTCAATCAGCCAGGTGTTCATATATCAAAACTGATTTCTTCATTTTTAATGATTATTTTGGTATACTAAAAAGTTATATTATTAAATGTGAAATTTATGGACAGTTTGATTAGATTGAAGATGTGTTTTTCCTAAACTGGAAAAATGTTAAAAAGTTAAGCAAAACAAAACATACCCAGTGTTGTACCAGAAGTTTATGTCTAATTCAGGGTCAATCACATAATCAGATGCTTGTGAAAATTTTAAAGTTATATTTGCAAAGGTACCATAGACAATTAAGCAGTTACAAAAACTTGTTCATTCATAGCTTCTACACTATCCTCAAAGTTAAGGAACCATCAAGTGGGATTACAGAAAATGGGCCACTCTAATATCATATCTAATGACAAAAACCAAACCTTGAAAATGAAAAATACATAGGTTCAAAATTAAACTTCTTGAAAAAAGATATTTTCAAAAAAGAAAAAGCATCAATTTCCAACTTTTTTTCCCTTTTATTCAGCCTATCATTCAGTCTTTCTTCCTATTGCTTTCTTAGGAGTGTTATATTAATAATGACAATAACATTTTCTTTTATCTCTCCCAGGTGGCAAATATTATATTCCTCTCAGGATAGATGCTGAATTAAATATTTGGAAAATGATGACAACTGTATGTTTCTCTAATCATTGGAAATTATTTTTTACTGTATCTGCAAACAGGCAGAGAAATATAAGGGCTGGACGTAAGCAAATATCACCTCGGAGAGACAAAGACATCAATACTCAGAGATAATGTAATGAAATAATTTCAGTGGAAATTTAATCAGGAGATCCAGGAAAACACCCTTCCATGCTCTGCTGTTTGGAAGAACTCAATTCTATTTCTGGTATAAACAATTACCTGAGTCGATTGAGAAATGGCTTCATCCAGTGCCACAGCTCGCTTTTTGACATCTTCTTTAATTTGACTGTAAAGAGTGTCAGCTGCCACATACTTCTCTTGGATAGAAAAGCCTTCCCCTGGGCTCAATTCCAGTAACTGCGGCCCAGTTTTGTTCATCTTATCTATATGAGGCTTGTGTTCGGCTATCAACTCTCGCAGTTGCTATAACAAACCAAATAGCTTCTCAGTATCTCAAGGTCACACCTCTGTATTACAGCTGTCTACACCCCCAACGCATCCAACTGGCAAGAAACTCCAAACAAACGTCCTCCCCATCACTAGGCATTCAACACATGATGGTTCATACAACTCTTTGCCGAGAAGAGACAGCCCCGACACAATAATTAAACAACAGTCTGGTCGTGCCAAAGCCCCTTTAAGTGCACACACAAAAATGCTGACTGAGTTAAATAGTGAATCCCAGTTCACCATGCCTTTCATACCCAAAACAGCACATTTTGACAAGAGCATTAGTCAAGGGTCATATTACACAAAAGGATTCTGAACTCACTATGTCCCCAACCTACAGAGACCAAGCTATAATCAAGGTATAACTCTTGGTGTTCCTTTCTGCATACTCAGGACATATACAAAAAGAAGGGTGGGAAGGAGAAAAAAGGGAATGGAAAGAAGCTAGATAAAGGGACATTAAGGTAATGTAAGCCCACAAGGCATTGCATTTATATATGTAACCAATATAAATGTATACACATACATATTACATTATATATATGACAGATATAATATATATGACATATATATATATGAATGAGTCTGTTTCCATTTGTTATTTTAAAATGTTAAAGGTTGCAAGGGCAATCAATCTATCAAACACACAGCTATACACTGAGGATTATTTGTAAGGTGTATTTAAGGGAAATGTGTATCATATAAATATGTTGCATAATTTTGTTATCTAATCAAGAGATACAATAATATTTATACTAATGAGTGGGTGTGGAATCCAAACGGAGTCTCATTCCTTCTAATGGAGATGATATGTTGGGAGCCTAAATAAAGCCGGAATAGGTCTATAGTCCGTGGATCCCAGGACCTCCACTAAGCGGTTTTTCATGGGTCAAATCCAAAACCACTTCCACAGAAAAATCTGTCTTTGCCTGCAGGTTTCTCTGAGGTTGGGCTCTATGCAGTGCTGAGCAGCCTTCCACTTGTACCACATGATTGAGCAGTTTCCCTTGTCAGCAGTTGCTTGTCCTCACCAAAATAAATATGAGGGTAATTCAAAAGGTTCATGGGAAAATTCTCATTATCTTTTAATTCTATTTTTCCACGAACTTTTTGAAGTATTCTCACATCTCCAAATTGTTTGTTATCCAGCTCCTAACAAAAGCTTCTCTGAGAGAAAGTAAATTCAGAAAAAAACAGTCTAGAGATAAGCTACCAATCTTTTCCCGTTAATTTTCAATTTCTGTCATTCAACAAGAAGAATCACCAGGGAAGCCACATACCTAGATTTTTATTGAAAGTATCTACTAAAATCAGTCACATAAATTATTTTGAGAACTTGTTGAGGAAACTGGAACATCATGAACTATTCCCAATGTAATATGCTATATCTGAAGTTTCTCTGTAGGTTGCCTCAAAACACTTTTGGAAAAGGCCAAAATAAACACAAATTCAATTGGGGGGGGGGGCTCTAATCTAACATGCTGTATTTAAGAACATGGGAGGGCCATGCCTGTAATCTAGCTCCTGGGTGTTCTAGGCGGAAGCTATCTTATTTCTGTCATATAATTAGATCCTATCTTCATGCTGCTTACAGAATGGAAGTAGTGATGGTAATAAATCAGCTAACATATAATCTCACTGAAAAGGGAAGCTGTAGATGTTACACACATTCTAGTCTTGATATTCTAAAAAGTTGGCTTGGAAAAAAAATGCTTACACTTTGAGTTATCAAAAGACTCTCAAGTAAAATGTAAAGATCTCTGCTGAGATTTGCTGAGTTGCCTAAAGTCTAGGTAAATCTCATCAGGGCAGCACCACTATGAGGCAATTTAGCTTGGAGAGTAGTGAGATGAGCCTTGTTTAGACTGCAGACTATTCCATGACAGGCAAGAGATTGCCTACTAAATGCCTACTTGGGTATGTGTGTCCATGGCAATAAGGCTTGATAAGAGATGCCTTTTGCCTCATATGTGACAAAATGATTCTTGGCAACATACTGTCATAGGAGTCCAGTCCTGCAGGAGATACTTAGTATGACTTCAAGATATCTATCACTTGGTAATATGGCCCTTGGGGCTATTTTTTATTCCTGGCTACAACGAACTAGATCTTCCCCCAAAATTGAAGGAGGGGATGTTGTGGAGCTGGAAAAGAAATGCCACTCTACAAAGTTGCATATGTTCTGAAATAGGAAAGCTTTTAATTTGAACAATATGAAGACTTGGCTACAAAGTTTTGTACTACCCTTTGTACAAACAATCATAAATTTGTTTAGAGAGTTTAAAGATTATGTAAAAAAAGGAAAATTAATCCCATTTTAAAATTTTAAGCTCAATAATGAGCCTTTCCATACCATTTGACGTTATGCTAGAAACACGGCTATTCAAATTACCTCAGAGTAATTAATAGTAATAATAGTAATTAATAGTAATTAGAAGAAATCCATGAAACATTTTATATTAAAAATCTTTCAGTGAGTAGGCATCAGGATTTCTGCCATAAATAAACTTTTATGCTAAAATTAAAGTCAATTCTACGTAGTTTGTAAGTCTTTCTTCTGCTGAATGATTTAGATAGAATGCCATAAAATTTCCATTTTGCATTAAATAAAGTGTTCTCTAAAGCTCTCTTCTACATAAATACCTTAGAGTTAGAGATATTCTTCAATGCCAATACATTAAAAAAGTAAACAAACAAGATTCATAAGTACGTCACTTATTCCAAACAATAACATAATATACAACGGGTTAAACTTCTCTCTCTCTCTCTCTCTCTCTCTCTCTCTCTCTCTCTCTCTCTCTCTCTCTCTCTCTCTCTCTCTCTCTCTCTCTCTCTCTCTCTCTCTCTCTCTCTCGCTCTCTCACACACACACACACACACACACACACACACACACACACACACACACACGTTTCAGGCTACATCTTATGCAGACCTAGGAGAGCAACTAGGTTCACAAATCCATAAATAGCCAGAGCTACAGCTTTTTCTCTGACAGTCTGGAACCCTCTCTCACCCACATTCTTGCAAAACTTTAAGCCACATTAATTATTAAGTGACTGCTGAAATCAGGGCTTTGTAATGCCATTTCATATACGTTTAAAATATAATACAACTATAGCTGTAAATATACTCCCTGGTTTACTCATCTACACTTATACAAGCAAGAACGTCAAAGAGTTCCATGTACATAAGGTGAAAATAAAGGGAAACAATTTGTCTTTACACTTCAGCATGTTTCCTCTTCATAGCTCTCATGACATTGCTATTTTGACATATTTATTGTATTGTTCATTTTCCCTAAGCTCAATGGCCTTATCTGTATAATGGCTCTTCCATATATTTCTACTCTTCATTTACAGTTGAGATGCTCTAACCCTGCACATAAAGTATAAAACTTAGTCAACATATATAAACTGAAAGCAATTCATTGTGCGTAAATTGAAAGCAGTTCAAAAACTTAGTTTTCTAACATTTTATTTTATTTTATTTTATTTTATTTTAAAAGATGACCAGTAAGGGGATCTTAACCCTTGGCTTGGTGTTGTCAGCACTACACTCAGTGAGTGAGCGAACCGACCATCCCTATATAGGATCCGAACCCATGGCCTTGGTGTTATCAGCACCACACTCTCCCAAGTGAGCCACGGGCCAGCCCTCGTTTTCTAACATTTTACAATGGGAGTTTATATTGCATACTATCCTATAAAACTCATGATGTAATTGATGACATATACAACATGGTCTATCCCCATGAGTAACCCTGGATAGAAAGTTAAATGATGAGGTAAGCAAACAGTGCAGACCAGAAGACAATATTATCAAAATGTCCTAATCGTGTAAGATGCCTAACAGCTTTAAAAAACACCATAAAAATTACAATTCTCTTACATAATGGGGAATGTAATATTCTCTTTCACACCGAGCTTACCCGATGTTCTTCCTGCTGTTGTCTTAGAGTTTCATATTCAAGTGCTGGGGCAGGAAGCTGAGAGATGATTCTTTGTGTTTCTGTCAGCCATGGCCAAAGTTCTTCATATGTTTCCCAGAACTGGTTAACTAGGGACTGTGCCCGTTCTAGCTGTAGATACCTCTCTGAGTTTATCTGGCAGATGGCATCATAGTCCTTCAGTACCTTGTCCAGTTTTTTCTAGAAAATAAAACAAAATGTATTTAATGGTCTGGCCAAGTAGTACATGTACTCCAGAAGACTGTCCAGCACTGTTTGCCTAGTACATTGTAGGCAACCAACCGATGTATGTTAAATGACTTAATAAATAAAAGCTATTCAGATTTTAATTGTTTCTAAGTATAAAAGTTCATTTTAAATTAAAGAAGGGTCTCAAGTTTTTATGAATAAGACACTGAGCTCTTCTAGTAAGCAAAATTATTATAAAGCTTTTGAGGTTAGAAAAAAAGTCTCTCATGATTCTAGATACATTTACACTGTTTTCTGAAAAAACTAAAGACTATCTTCTGCAAATGAAATGGTAAGAACTGTTGGTCAAGAAATTAATTATATATATTAGAATGAAAGTAGAACATTGTGCTATATGCTTTTATAAGGTGGTTACAGTGATTTAGCTTATGGTATATATTCACAGCAAAAACTAATAGCAATAGCAGAAGATAAAGCACCACAGACCAACACAAAAATTATTTCATGACAACCTATATTTTTCATGTCAAAATCTTTGCAAAAATAATACAGATTCAATATTAAACAAGTAAGCTGCCATTGAAGAGTGTAAATAAAAGAGAAAGTATCTTTATATTGCACATTCTATGCAATATAAAGATGGTATAACCTGAGAAGCAATGCATACTCAGTAAAATGTGATCTTAGGCACAGACATTTACATATTTTTTTACCATGGAATATTTTGCTACCAAAAGCAGTACTATACATTAATTTCTTTACACTGCTCAGATGTCTGAATATGAATTGAACTAAATATTTTCACTTGTGGCTGGTTTTCCACCAATTTAAAGGATCATTAAAACTACATAAACTGGATGCATCTTTAATTACTCAGCTTATTTTTACCCTATATAGCATACTGTAACATTATATGGAATGGATTTCAACATTAGAGGGAACCACATATGTTGTTTTTGTTTCAGCTCAAGAGGCCCAAATGTTCCTGAAACATATTAACAACAGTTGACATATATAATAATCATAATTTTTACTGACTAATACTGGAAATAACACAGATAACATTAATTGAATGCTTAATGTGTACCAGTGAACCAAGGACTCAAACCTTAATAGCTTTTACACCTACTAAAAAAGATTGTCTTCATGGGGATTCCCATAAGGAATATTCTTTTCACTGTTACCTTGTAAGCTTGGAAAATGCCTTACTTAAAACTAATGATTTTGCTGCTTAAATAGCAGCTGTGGATCAAGGAAAAGTGCCTTTCTAGGACTGAAAGCTCAACACACGCTGTTTATTCAAGAGTCTGACTACCAGTCACACAGACAAGATTATACCTTCATTGATTGCTTTTCCTCTTCACTGCACGTGGTCATGATTTTATGTCCAGATTTAACAAGTTCATCAATAATATCCTTGTGTCTCAAAATCTCCATGGTGAATGTCTGTGATTTACCAAAATAAAGATAAAAAAAATAGTAAGTGTGTGACTTAAATGAAAACAATTAAGCAAAGTAGTTAAAAATACCAAGTTACACTAGAGGGGTCTGGAAAAGTAAATCATGCAAACACATTTTCTAGACTTGGAGCATTCTAGCAAATAACTTAGATGGTAATTGGAAATGTATTTCTTTACCTTTTGAACCTGAAGCTGAGCAGAGGTCTGATCTTGCTCAAGCCTGATGTCACCCAGAGACATCAATTTCTTTTCTGTTTCAGTAATCCAGTATAACTCAGCATCAGCCGCTTGGTCAAACTAAACAAAAGATAAATAATTAGGTCAGCAAGTTCCTGTAACTAGTGCCAGAAAAATACCTATCTACATTTCTTTCAAATATCCTTATTACACAAGTGGAAAATCTCAGCTTATCTCTTCATGGTATCCTGAACTAATTCATGATAATGACTGAGTTATAAAGAAAGGAGAACTTTCCACAGAGTAATTAAACACAAGCTCTTAAAACACACTGGATCCATAATACCACATTAATGATCTTAGGACAGCTAGCATTGCTGTCTTCTTTTCTAGTAGTTTTAATAATTCGCTCCTTAGGAGTACTATCCAAATGTAACAGCTATAAAAGTCAATAGCTAGAAACCCTCTTTTATTCATTTCATTCATCACTTTAACCCATATGATATGCAGATAGCATTCTGCTATCAAAGCACATGATTTTCAGCAAAAAATATTCCGATTTGTTTATTATTTATACTATATGTGCATATGTGTAAATATATGTTACTATGTATACAGAATATACCCCCAAATGATTCATGTACAATTTTTAAACATCTCATTTAATAATAGCAGAAAACATTTTCAAGAGCATTCTTAAATATTTTAAGATATTTTATTGTCCTGATGTAATAGTAATTCATTAACCTGGTAGAAATTTATAAGGCATAGAAAAATATACAGAAGAAAATTAAAAACTGCAGTTAACACTGTTGGAAATCTAGTGAATTTTCTTCCAGAAGCTGAGAGAGAAAAATTTGCAACTGTCTAAGATAAAATTGTAGAAATAAAATTTTTTTAAAATAAATGCTCATTTATTATGGACATTTTCCACATTATATTCTTTTCAATAGTACCATTGATTTTTAAATAGCATCACTGTATTCAAGCATACCTCGATATTTTCATTTAGGCCCTCTGTATTTTTCTTGCTATTATGTAAACAACCCTGCAATGAACATCCTTGTATATAAACTTCTATTGGCATCCTTGGTTAAGATACCTAGAAGCGACTACCACGTCAAAGATCATGAACATTTTCAATGCCTTGCATGACATAAACCCCAAAGCTTCCCAGGCCCAAGCAGTTATCATAAATGAAGAAAGTGGGCAAGTGACACCACAACCACCAATGATAAATGGTAACTAACAATGGCCTCAGTTGGAAGAATTAATGGGAAATGGACATTGTGGGTATTCAAGTCCAGTACTACCAGAACTTCTAATTTTTCAAGAGAAGATGGAAATCCAGATGGGGGTGAGGGAATAACTAGGTGAGGGCACAGAAGGGTGGGAATAAGAAACTAGATTATAAAATAATTCCTACTTTAAAAATTCTATGGAACACTATGTGGACACATGGGAAGATAGAGTAGATGAACTTTTTTTTTAACCTGTTCCTCATGATAAGTACATCTAAAAATCCTGGGCATTATGTATAAAACATACATAAGACAACTCTGCAAAGTGGACAGAAGAGGGCAGAACCGCTAGGGACATTGGGCCTGAGAAACAACAGGTGATGAGTTCTCTGAGTTTTCTTTTTGCCTCAACTATCCCAGACTGGATACTGGAGAAACTGGCAACCTAGAAACACCAATTGAGCATGGCACAGACAGAGTCACAAGTAAAGCCTACTCTCTCTAGCCAAAAGACCAGGAAAAGGGCAGCCTAGCAAGACAGAAAACCTTTACACAATAACTACTCTACTCCAACTAAACACCACAGAAAAAAATACTGTGGCCCCACCCACACTCATGCCAAGACAAACCAAATGGGGAGCCTAGACTTCCACCCTCATGAGGCTATGACAAGGGCCCCAACAACCTTGCCAGGGTGATGTTAGAGAAGCCCACAGTGTCAGTGGAGACCATGAAGGGAGCCTGGTCTTCCACCGCCACCAAGCAGTAATGAGTCCCCCCAACTCCCTTGCCTCTGGAGTGGTGTCAGAGAAGACCTACTGGAGAGGATTTTCACCATCACTCGGTGCCACCATCATATCCACCCTCACTGTGGTACCAGTAGAAACCATGTGGGGAGCTGGAACTCACACTGTCACCCAACAGAAATGAGGAGCTCCACCCTTTAGGTGTCAACAGAGGTTGAGCAGCAAACCTGGACTTCGGTCTCCACCTGGTAGCACCCCCAGCTTCTTCCACCAGAGCAGCACCTGAGAAAGGCCACTAAAACAGAAAGTCTAAGGTCCAAGACTCACAGCATCATATAAGAACCAAGAAGATCTCAAAACGAGAAAAAGATAATCAAATACATGCCAATATCTAGATGGCCTAGATACTGGAATTACCTGACTCAGATTTTAAATCAGCCATGATAAAAATGCTCCAATGAGCATTTTTGAATGTACACAATTGAAATAAAAAATCAGAAGGCCTCAGTAATAAAATGGAACATCTCAGCAAAGAAATAGAATACATAAAGAAGAACAAAATTTTAGAACTCAAAAATATTACTGAACTAAAATTCTCAGTGGATGAGCTCAGTAAGGGGACAGAGGAAAGAACAGGTGAAATAAAAGAATAATAGAAATTACCCAGTCTGAATAACAGAAAATAGATTGGAAAAAAAAAAAAAATCAACAGAGCCTCAGGGACCTGTGGAACTATGATAAAAGATCTAATATTCATGTCATCAGAGTCTAAGAAGGACAGGAAAAAGAGGTTGTGGCTGAAAAACTACTTGAACATTCTTAAAATCATAGAAACTATAGGAATGGAAAACAGATTTATGATTGCCAGGAGTTAAAGATGGAATAGAAATGGGAGGAAATGGGTGTGGCTGTAAAAAGGCAACATGAGGGATTCCTCCAGTGAAGGAAATATTCTATGTCTTGTATGCATCAGTGTCAATATGCTGTTTGTAATACTGTACTATAGTTTTGCAAAATGTTAACGCTGGTGGGCCGGCCCGGTGGCGCACTGGATAGTGCGCCGCTTGGGAAGCGCGGCGGCGCTCCTGCCCGAGGGTTCGGATCCCACATACAGACCGGTTCCTGCTCACTGGCTGAGCAGGGCGCGGGAGCAACGCCGAGGGTTGCGATCCCGTTGCCGGTCCCCGGTCCGGTGCGGGGGCAACACTGAGGGTTGTGATCCGTTGCCGGACACGGAAAAAGACAAAAGACAAAAAAAAAAAAAATGTTAACGCTGGAGACACTGAGTAAGAAGGTACAATGGGATCTCTGTATAATTTTCTACAACTGCACGTGAATCTACAATTACCATGAAACAAGTTTAATTTAAAAAAAATAAAACAACTCTGTTGGTAACCTCTTATCTGTAAATACCTGTTTGCATTTTCTCTTTTACATACATACTGTCAAATTGCCCTTCAGATATGATGTACTAAGTTGTACTCCCACAAGCAGTGTTTTGCTATAGCCCTCAGCAGAATGGGGTATACTTTATTTATTTATTTATTAATACTTTATTTTTTACTATTTGTCAGGCTTATAGGCGAACTTTAATTATAAGGAAACCAATAAACCACTTGAAAAAGTCTATCTTAATCTGGTAATAATTTTTTATGATGTTATTTAGTTTCAAATATAACTATTCATTAGCAATTATTGATCAATATAAAAAAATAAGAAAAACATTTCATTGACTAATTGAGCAGCTTCAAATGTGGAAAAAGAATCTACATGAAAAAGAGTAGAAGAGTCTTCTATGTGTGGATTATTAGTTTTGAAGACATATACAATAAAACTGCAGGTACAATTTGATCATGTGATTCACTTAAAAAGTATAAGACTAAGGCAAACAGACCAGGACTTTCTACCTGAGTATAAATGCTGCAAGATATCCAAATAAAATGTAACAGTCATGAATTCTTTCTACTCCTGGTCCCTGAAAAAATAAAGTGAAACACCCTCCCTCTTGTTTGTGTTCGGGCTATAAAAAGTATGACTGTATTTACATGCCAGTCCTAATAAAGAAAGTCAGGCTGTTAAGTGTTAATATTAGTTTTATACTATGCTTCCCCCCTTTAAAAAAAAGTATCCAACAAAAAACAGTATGATGATACCATCTAAGTTGCCAAATGGGAAGCTGAAACTCAAACACTGTTTCTTTAACCAAATTAAATATTTGTTCTACTAAAAGAAAACAAGACTTCAAGCAAAAATTTCCCTTCTGCCATCTGAGAATTTTTAAAAATTAAATTAGCAAATATTTATTGTTAAGCAACAAATGAAATAGCCACAGGGTCTACATTAAGCAATTTACAATAAAGCAAGGCATTTTAGGCCTATGACTCATTCAAACGAATGGTTAATGTGTATATTTCCAACAGACAACAAAAATGGCTCATTTTTACATGTGAGCTACATGGAGAGCGATGCTACTGGACGAAATTTTAATAATTTTGTTTACTGCTTATCCAAGTAGGGAAATTTGACTTCAAATACATTGTTCATAATCTTTCATCCATATCTGCATCCTGGGAAATAATTTAAGAGGTAGCATCACCAGTGGAGTCTAACCATTAACTCTACCCACTGTAACTTCTACTATAGTTAAACTAGCATTTTAGAAATTTCCTAAACGTTAGTGCAAGACATTTTAAGTGGCTATCTCTAAATATTACTGTAAAACATGCTCTAAAACAATACTGGCTTGCATTCTACTGAACACATTGTTGTAAGTGCTCAGTATTCAATATCTCCTTTAATGCTGACAACAAATGTATAATGTAGGTATTATCATTAACTGCATTTATAGTTGAGAAAACTGAGGCAAAGAGATGTTAACTAACTTACCAAAGATTACCCAGCTAGTAAATGTTGGACCTAATAGTCTAACCAAGGTGGTGTGATGTCAGAGACGGCACTCACACTTGCCATGTTAGATTGTTTGTGTTTGTATATGGTTTGGGCTTCATGAATTCAAAATATTCATGTGATTTCATCAGACATGGCTCAAATACCACAACAGTCAATAAGAAATCGGTTTTAACTTAATATTCAAACATTTCTCCAATCTCTGACAAATTGCTTTTGTACTTTATCCAGAAGTTTCCCTTGAGTGGAAAGACAGAGTGATAAGCAAACCTTAACTTCAAGGATATCCTTTTTACTTCCTTCCCCTTGTTGCGGATCTTATCACTTTCTTTTGATTAGCATTTCCTTCCACTTTGCTTCTCATTATTTATAACACAGCCCATATTTTCCCACCCCCAACACCTGCAGGGTCTAAACAAATTTCATTTCCGCAGGGGATGTTTCCTTCTGGTTCCTTAGAAGAAATAAACAGGTGGTAGTTTTCTCCAAAGCAGATTCTTAATGACCCAAGGAGCTGTTTGTTTTAATTGCACCCAAACCACCAGCCCATGGGCCTTTATATCAGGATTATTATGGGGCCCACTTACATAAGCCAAGCAATTAGAACTGCCAAAGAGTGCTTGGGATTCCCAAACCCATTGAGATATACATATTTTAGCAACGTCTGACAATTGCACATTTATAAGAGGCAAAGGACAATGAACTGCTCTGAGGTTTAAATAAACAATTGCAGTAGTCTGAAATAAGGATACAAGTCTGTACATCTTTTAAGCAAAAGTGCCTTTCCCCATTTCCACAGTGCTCATAGAAAGAAAGCAACAAAGATATGCCACTTTGTGTCAGTTGAAAATGCAAAAATATGTACAGTTTCTAACTCAGAAAATGGCATGTATTGTGAGAGGGAGGCTGTTTAGTCAACATCACTATTTAGTAAGCTGCCTTGCTCCACTCAGATTTTCCCTAAAAGTAATGAATGGGCCCAATTCTTTTAAGAAAGAATATCCTCTTCATAATATCAATGCCTGCAAATCCCTAGAATCAGATTTGGGGGTTTGCTGACTGGTATCCCTGAGTGTATATAGTACTCACTCACTTGCCCATAATTGAGGCTCCTCAATTATTTCCCAAATAATAACAAATAGGGCCCTCACCCCTATGACATCAAAATTCAATGGCACATCTTTTCAAAACTGTTATTGTCATATAGGATTCACATGAAAATCTAACCATGTCAAATCAGAACTTTTTAAAAAACTAAATTTATACAGGGTGGTTACCAAGTACATTTTACTTAGAAGATATCTGTATGTTCCCTCCAAACTTTAATTCTTTTCCATGTTTTTCTGGACATCATTCGTGTTGTTGTTTGGAAGTCAATAATATTACGTGATAGTGACCTGACACCTTACAAAGCCCTTATAGTATTGTTAAATCAAAAAGCAGGTTATAACACCATAAAAAAGGTAGATCTATTTATAAACAATCTTACTACCTGGTAAAATATGAAATATCTTAAGGGAAATTTGCTTAGAAAACAGCACAACTAGTCATTTAAAATCTAGTTTAACTTAGGTCATTCAGTGACAAAGTATTAAATCTATAGTTTTTTAAATTACCAAGTAGTGTTCAAAGCACACATCCTCACCCGGTCACATGTGGGTGTGGTTACGTTGATTGTATGTTGTGGGCACGTTGTGGGCAGAGGTCTGAGGAAGAGTTGCTGTTAAACAAACTGAGTATGACTAAAGGTGTATCTGAAGAGAAGAACTGAGGTCAAATCATGTCCGTATTTCACATGAAGAGGAGACCCCAAAAGGTAGAGATAATTTCTTTATACAACATAAAACGATACAAAATATGTGGCTAACATCCAGGTTTAAAGAGAGAGAGAGAGAGAGAGAGAGAGAGATTTTTTGCATCACTGCCTTTTTATATTTCATGGATACATTATCATTGGGTAAAACAGAAAACAGTCATTTTAGTATCAAACTGTACTCTGGTCCCAATTCCAAACATCTACCAGTGGGCAAGCTTATAAAATAGTTTCAGTGATATATCAGCTCCTTTATAAGTGTGAAAATTATAAGTTTAGAAACTTATCTTTTAAGTGTAAAATCTATGCCACACCAGAAAGACAGGTACCCACCCACTCTGTTCTTAAACTTGCCTAGATAGAGATGTTTCATGATCCTGTTAGTACTGCATTCTCATGTTCCATAGTCTGTATAAGTTGAAATATTTTCATCACACACTTCTATTTTGTTGCAACAATGGCACCTTCCTTCTGATTACTGAAGAAGTTTAGAAAAAAATGGGATCATCCCTCAGGATTTTTCCTCTCTATGCAATTTATAAGGAGGCACTGCACTGAGGTAGAGTGAGATCTGGATTAAATTCTAGTTGCAACTCTGCCACTTCCTAGCTGTGGGACCACAGGCAAGTTGCTTTTCCCCAGGTTGCACACTGCGTGCATTCCTCCCAATTCTAAATACTTGTGTGTCTGTTTAGCCTTACCGGAGGTATTTCATTGGACAGACCTGCAAGTATTTCAAAGGGATGCAGATAAAAATATAAACATGAACAGCCAGAAGATATTAATGGTATTAATGTTAGCTATATGATCTGCTTGTAGTAAGACTCTTACTATATACATTCTCTTTCTGTCTCAAAAGGAAGGCTGGAAGGATATAGGCCAAATTGTTTACACATTCTTTATGAATTTTTCTGTATTCTTTCAGAAAATCTCAAAGTTTTCTGTAAGAAATTATTTTATCAGGAAAAAACCATTAATTGTTAATTTTCCTAAAGGATATATGTTTGGGATTCTAGAAGACTTACACTGACCTGGTAACTTTTTTTTTCTTTTTACTTTGGAAAACATCTGCAAGACCTTGAGTAGAACTGGGCTACAGTTAATGACACTGGCACATATCAGAGCTTACAAATCAATACGACCTCAACCTGTGACCTTGCCCTTATTATTGTCTCACTTTGCTGAGCTAACCAACCATAGTCAACTTCTCAAGAAAATCTTAGTCCCAAGAGTACAGAATATTTCTCTTGCTATTCAGAGAAGTCTTTACTGCCAGTTCTAAAATGTTCAAATAAATTGCAGCAAGAAAAAAATTCAGGATTTTTAAATAGCTGAACAACCTTCACAAATAAACACACTTATTTTTCTATAATACAAATTCCTCCAAACTTTAAAAACAGAGTCATGAAAATACATTCCTCAGGAATGAATGCCCTCCCTCACAAAAATTTCGTAGGGAGGGCTTTTGTTATCATTGTATTTCATCAGCTTTCATGATTCCAGAGCACAGCACTAAAATGAGGAGTGGAGCATTATGCTTTATAAATTACACTTTTACAGCAACATTAGAAAATTAATTTTGGATGCTCCCACAGAATCTGCTTGATTTGTGTTCCTTGCTCTTGGCTTGTATTAGTGAAAGCTTAGTCATGTACCTTCCCAAGCTCCACACTTAAAGCACACTGCGATATCTTACTAACCCCCACACAGAAAGCCTGTAATAAGAATCTGATGACTTAATGTAAATATTCAGAGACTTCAATAAAAGTTAATTGAGACATATAAGAAACTTCTACTTCTAGGATTTCATTCATTGCCCACAGTTTTTAGAGGGAACTGTGGCAAAGGGCTGGGTGCCTATAAAAATCTTGGGGTATAAACTCTGTATCAATTGCAGACAGGTCAGAAACTAACATTTTTTTCCCCTTCAGTCATCTTTGGAAAAAAACTCCACATTATCAACAAAATGGTTTCCTTTTTAAAAACAATACTTTCTTTTTGCCATAGCTGAATGTAAATGAACAGTTCATACTGACTTACATGATAACTCTAAATGTTTAATCACATACAGATTATACTTAGTCAAGGCATAAAATTAATGTTAGCAATATGCATATATGTAGACAAAAGCGTTTTGCTTGGAAAGCAGGGTTGATCTTGTCAGTGTCTCATTCAGTAAGGATAAATGTGTGAAACAGTGCAGCAGATGGCTCCTAATATAAAGATTAGCTTTGCTGTGGCACTCAGATGTCGGAGTACCCTAGTCAAATTCCTTTCAAATCTACCCTTTCATTTTTGAAGCACAACAAATGAATAGAAACTCTATTCTATTCAGGTAAAGCCTCTGGGAACAGATGGAGAAAATTTATTGCTTAAACAACAAACCACTTGTCCTTACCTGCTGTGATCTCAGAATGGCTGCATCGATCTCCTCCACCTTCTGAGTGATGGTGTCGCTCACTAATCGGTAGCGCTCATTGTCCTCGGCTACCATTTTCTCAAGTCCTTCTCTTGCCCTCCACGGTACCAGTTCCAGCAAAGCACTGCTCACTTCATTAAGAGAGTCCAATAAGGCTTTGTTGTTCTTTGCTTCCTTTTTCAGATCCTGAAAACACACAAATATGTGGGTTACACCTAAGAGTTTGATCAGGCTTTTCTTTTAATGTTCTTGGGGCTAAAGTCCTTTGCAGGCTAATAACGCAATGCTTTGCCCACTCCCTGCCAGTTTCAGTTGAGTTAAGAAACTTTTGTTATTTAGAGCTATTTTGCAAAAAGTAAAGTGTTTCTTGAGAAGTTCAAAGAACAATTCATTTGTCAACATGGCGATTTTATGATCAAAATTTAATATAAATACTTAATATTTCGGAAACAAAACCAAGCAAGTTAACATGTATTATTCTTTGCTTTTTGGGGACCCCCTAAGTAATCAGGTAGAAGAAAAGTAAAATAAAGAGGATATTCCAAGCCAGAATTAAGTGACCTTCAAAACAAGGACACACTGGTGTTAAGTCATTTCAGTTGAACCATTACAGGTTCAGTGAGCCTGACCTCACTGACTCCCTTTCACCCACATGTGATCATACCTCAGGGATGATAAAAGCAGAGTCTGCTATCTCTGGAAAGAATGATTAGCATGAAAGTATACTACTGTTGTGATATAATTAGAAAACCCATCCCCTGCTACACATCTATGTTATAGAAATATTGTTATTCCAGCCAAATTACATGTGTCTTTGAAACTGAACATTTTCCTTTTTTTCTTGTTTTCATCATTCTGTCTCTTGTATAATAAACTATACTCCCAAACATAAGACTCTTGAAACAAATTATCAGAGACTGTTTTCATCTCCGGGCTCCTAAAAGTTTAAACAGTTGATCTGCTGCCAATTTCTGTTGGGTCCCCACCCACCAAGGCATCCTTTAGCATATTAGTAATGACACAAGACAAATATAATTTCATTCCTGCGTGAATAAGACTCCCTAAAAGATAACAAACTGATCCAAATGTATAAATCAGAGCATACTTTTTGTCTCACTTGTGCTTGGCTTGCTGCTTCTCCTTTCAGAACCTGAGTTTCATATGAGAGCAATTCCACCTCCACTTTGTCCAGCCAGGTACACAGCTCTTCGTGGGTGGAATGCAGCTGCCTTGCAAGCTGCAGTGCCTGTTCCAGAGTCTTGGCTACATCAGTGCTCAATTTAGTAATGTCTTTGTACCTTGCTTTAATGGCTTCCAATTTATCTTGAATTATTAAAACTTCATCACCTAGAATTTCAAAGGCATGTTATTTCTTATGAAAGGAAAATAGTGGGGGGGGGGGTTCAGATATTATGTTTCACTGATTAAGTTTTCTGGGAAAAAAGGAGACATTTTTCTAAACATGATCTTACCTAAGAGAAGCCCTTTTCTAGGTTTCAACCTTTGCGCGGATTTCTGGAAAATCTAAACATTTGTGAAAACACAAATGTAAAAACTGGAGAGGGCTACAAGTGCCTTCAGTCAACTGGAAAGCAGCACCATTGCATCCATCTGTATGGAGCTTTCAGTTTTCAAAGCACAGAGGTTAAAAACTGCTTGGGTTCACATACTGATTTCATGGTTAAAAAGCTGGGTTACCTTGGGCAAGATATTTAACCTCTCTGTGCTCTTAGTTACTCATCATTACACATCTGCACTATTCCAGGGGATCCTTACTTGCCTCTACCTCATTTTTCAGGCATACAGAGAAATTGTGTCCTGAGCTTCGGACTTCTAGTTCAAGGTTCTAGATAGTATATTGAATTTCTCCAACTCATAATGAAAAGTAATTGCCACCACCACACACATATTGCTGAACTGGATATATGTACAGTGAAATTTTCCTGCAGCCAAAGGAATCACTGAAGCAAATTAGTTTCTCTGAGTTGTCCTAAAATCTCCTCACATAGATATTAAACCAAGTATCTGTTTTCTTAGTGATTCAAGTATGGAGAAACAAAGCCTCTGTGTAGCCACAATGTGTGTCACTACAATGCAATCTATCTTTAAAAAAAAAAAAAACTGTCTACAACCTATGTGTTTGTTTGCCTTCCACAAGTGGAAATCAAATGTAACTCTGTCGTGGGCTTCCCTGACTAGCTCCTGTGCCAAAGTGCTTTATGTTATGAGTAATACACACAACTTCTATCAAGAACTCAAGTGAGATCATGAGAAAAAAAGTGAGATCATATTCTAAAAGCCCCCTTTGTTAGTCTTCAAAGTATTCTCCAGAACAAAGTCTTGGAATGGCCCAAAAATTATAGTGTATTGTTTTTTCCCCCATCTCCCAAATATGTTGAAAACAATGCAATATGCAGACTGCATGATTATCTGATTTGAAAGATATCTCACCTGTGGTTTGTTTAAGAAGTTCTAAACCATTTAGTAATGCCTGATCTACATTTTGTTTCCTGAGTAGGATGTCCTCTTGCAGAACCTAAAAACGCAGGTACCATTTTTACATGGGGGAAAACAATTTAAAATCAGTATTAGCATTAGAACTTTAATTTGGTATCATAGAGATACATTTGAGTAAACACCGCACATTTTCAAATATACATCATTATTCCCATGTTTATGCCTTTTCTTTTCACCACTGTGCCCCATCTCCCACATTCATCTACTATAATTCACAGTACTATCTTTTTCAGGAAATACTTAGGACCCTAGGAGAAAGGGCCATGTGGAGGTATTGGTGTACTGATCAATTATGGGTCTTTGTACACAACAATAAAATAAAATGAAAAGTGAAAAATCAAGCAAATTGGATCAATTCCATCTCTACTTAAAAGTGACTTTGTTAAGAGTAATCTATATACATAGGCAAAGTCTTTTTTGAGTATAGCAATTCACCTAAATCATAATGAACACAAAGTAATGCAGAAATAAAGAAGACTGAGAAAATAATGACAAATGAAATGAAAAAAATAAAATAAATCAAAATACCCGAAGTTCAGACTGCTGCTTCCACAGCCCCTCCGTGCTGTAATCCTGGACTGACAGCTTGCTCAGTTTGTCATGCACTTCATTCAGCCAGTTCATCAGCTCAACTTCATCTTCCCCAAAAATCTTAGCATTACATAAGGCCTGCTGGAGGAGCTCAGACCTGCTGTGACTTTTCTCTTGAATCTCAAGGTACCACACTTGAGAGAAGTCTAATTTACTCTGCACCATATCTTTATCCTCCCTGGAGCTCAAAACCTTTAAGGATTGGCCAATGCTAACAGCCTGATGTAAATGTTTATTGTGATTGATGATGTCATCTTCTAAGGCCTAAATAAAGTTTAAAAAAAGAAAGAAGACAAACAAAAAGGATGGACAAATAAAAATGAAAACATAAACAGAACTAAAAGATGACATCTGAAATGGATTTAGTTTGCAATTATGTATCACGTGACAACAGTACATAACTCAAACTTACGTTACAAAACCACAAAATAAAATCTGAGCCTTACTAATGTGTGATTTGTATCTTACTTTGTGCTGTGAAATTTGTTCCTCAAGTTTAGATGCTTGGGTTCCTATGGGTTCACAATTCGCGAGCCTCTTTTCTATGGTGGTAAGCCATTCATTCAGTGGTTCTAAGGTTTCATGAAATTGCTGTGCTACCACCGAGATACCTTCCAACTGACGATTCCTATAAATGTGCCAAGATAAAGGTCATTTAGGGATGAAGAATGTTTGAAATATTCAACAAAAATCTTTAGTCATGCTCCTGCATTCTATTCTAAACATTTTTTTTGGTAGAAATCATCTAAAGTTAAATTTTAAGTCTCTATCATTTAAAGGACGTGTTAAAACAGTTCTTCTATTAAATAAAATTAAAATTGAACAACAAACCAACTTCAAATGCCTGATCTCATGAAAGTCTTAAGTAATCTTAGGCAATAAGACTTCCAATAATTATACGTATAATAATAAGAGTACTGTTATAAGGACAACAGCAGCAATAATGATGACAATAATAGGTGATATTTTATTGAACACACTCTAAGCCAGACCCTATTTTAAGTGCTTTATATATTAATTTCAGTTGGAGCACTAGTTACTGAGATTGCTTTTAAAACCATTGCTTCATATGGTCAAAACTGGATTCAAATTTTGAAGAACATATATAGCACAAACTATATACACATATATTTTTAAATATTTTCAGTTGAAATACTTTTGATCCTAAAAAATAAATAAAATTACTATTTTTTTTTTTAACTTTTGGAGTATCACTATTTATGACTCTTTTTTTCTAAATTCAAATATCCAATCATCTAGAATCAGTGCAAATGGCGATTTTGTGATTGGGTTTAATTTGCTATGATTTAAACTGTGAGCAATAAATCTGGGTGTGAATCAAAATTATTACCAATATCCCTACATTTAATGCCATTGTGAGGAATGTTTTTGGAAAAGAAGACAAGTTATGGTAGTAAAGCAGAGATCTAGACATTCATTCACTTATTTTTTATAAATTACTGACAGTATCTCTCATGGCAGCCAGGGCACAACGTCCTGGGACATTACACAGAAAGGTTAATCTGTTGTCCCCTAGCAAAGGACACCATGAGACTTTTAGCCTCCTTAGGAACACTGCATTCTATAGTCCTAAAACCATAATTAATTCTACTCCATAATTCAAGATTAGACAAATCCTCCCTTCACCTCCCTTCACCTCTAGCTCCAAAGAAGGTAGGAATTTATGGAACACACTCATCTATTTTCAATCCAACTAACCTAAGTGGCTGCTCTTCGATGAAGCTACTATTTAACACTGGTCAATGTGATGTCTATGCAGAGAGTGAAGAAATATTGGTTGGGATTTGGTATAAGAAAAATGTTGAAAGCAAAGGCCCAGTAGAGCCACGTGCTGGGCTTCCTGGATTTCATGAAGTTAGAGCATGATTCCACATGCTTTGTTTCCTAGCTAATTCCAACTCCCCCTTAAAATGTAGCCTAGCTGTCACTTCCCTGCCCCAAGACTGGGTTTTTTCTATTATACGCTCCCACAACACCCTGTATTTTTGCTTTGAAACATCACATTTGTCATCACTTTTCGATGACTATAAAACCTACTAGATTGTACCCTGTCTGAGGGCAGAGGTGGTCTCTCCAGCTCACCCATGTAAACCAAGGCCCAGCTCTGTGCCTCCTGAATGATAAGCAGGCAATAGTTACAAAATAAACAAAAGAAGGAATCACCCTCAAGGAAAATGCTTTTCTTGAAAGAGTTGGAACATAGCTGGTGACTACAAGACATAACCATTAGAGGAATGAGGAGAAAAGGCTTCACAGTCCCAGCTACCTATGCTCACAGACATGATAAACATAGGAAAATAATGATTTGAAGAAAGGTATTACCAAAACACAGAATATCAGCATAAAGGCAATTGCTACTCTTCCCCCCCGCAAATTTGGAAATATTTAAGTTACCTTGTTTCAGCTTTATTAAGCAATGCCTCCCATCTGCTATCCAAGAGACTCAGCTGTTTCAAAATCTTCACTTTATCTGCAGGTTCTGCTGTTGCAGCTATTTTTTCTCCTTCTCGTTTGATTACCTCAACCGTAGATTTGCGGTCATCTAACAATCTTTGGAGAAGCTTGAGACAAAACATTAAATGTCAAAAAGAGGCAAGGGAATACTTGTATAAACATAAAGTAAAATGTATTCTAAACGCATTTGATGTGTGACAAAAATATGTATTTTGTATGGATGCACATACACAAGGATCTGAGAAGTGGAATTTTAAAAAGAAATTCATTTTGCTTAATGATTCATTATTATTGTGTCAGATACTGTAGTAGGGGTTTTTCAGAGTAGACAAAACTAATATTTATAAGGCCACTAAACTCTTCATCATTATTTTTTTAATATAAAGTAATAGGGTAGAAGGAGCTACTTAGGGTAACCCCACTAAATCATGGGAAAAGTGCAAAATATCCATTATAATGAGATGGGAATGCCCTAAACATTCAATAACTATCTGCTGAGATAAAAAAGATTACTATACATATTACTGTTTTCAAAACCCTTTCCCATGTGAAACAATCCATTATAGACAAGGAAGTTAAGACGGACCAAGTTTGCAAGTTAGCAAAGCTAAAACTAGAGGCTCTTGCTCCCTTTGCAAGGTGGAAATAGCCCCTAAAAATCCTTCATGAGGATGAAAACTAAAAAAGAGCCATTAAATATCATTCCCAAATGGAAGACAGGGTAGAATATGTCAGAAATCTCCAGAGCCAGCTAAATAAGACTAATATTTCAGGATTTAGCAGCAGAAACAAAATTCAATTTAATTCTAATAAAACATTTCAAGATGCCTGGAATGGAATGTTTGATATAGGAGCCAGAACTCAGGATTACCTTGCTCAAATTTAATCAAAACAAATTGTTCATGAGCAACTGCTATGAACAGGCACTGTGTTAACAGCAATGAGGAAGGCACCAATGCATAAAACATTAAATACTTCATTGCTTCCTTACTATGATCCTGACCAATAGTTAAGGATTAAAGATTCCATAGTTACCAAGAAGTAAAAAGCTAGAAGAAGCTGAGGGCACTTCAAAAAGTTCATGGAAAAACAGAATTAAAAGATAATCCAAATCTTCCCATGAACTTTTTGACGAGCCTTCTTATTTTGACCTCAAGAGCACCAAGGTAGGAGGCAAAAGAAACGTGTTTAAATAAGGGGAAGAAACACAAACTCTCTTGACATAGCTTAGAGTCATTATATAATCAAACTACAACAGATAGTTTAGGCAGCAAGGAGAACTAATTATGTGAATTACTTTTGATCAACTTTAATAGCAAAGCCTCTAGCAATTAAGAAAGCAAAATCAACAAATAGGTTTTGTTAGCTAAGCACTGTTAATTAACTGTGGGAGAATAAATTGTGAACGGCAACAGTTATATGACTATTATTCAAAAATCACATAAATGCAATGTGTTTCCAGTTATGTTTCCTTAACCCTTACCTGTGAATCTATTTCTAATGGGTATTATTTCCCAATATGCTAAATTTTTCAAAGAATTTTTAGGGAGATAGCATTAAATGTAGAGATTAAAGTAAGCAGTAAGTTATAAATTAAAGCAAACTTCTGAGGCCAAACATGGAAACTCTTTTGGTTTTTTAAAATTTTTAATTCACAAATAATAATTGTATATATTTATGAGGTACAATGTGATGTTTTGATATATGTATATATAGTGGAATGATTAAGTCAAGCTAATTACATATCCATCACCTCACCTACCTTTTCTTGTAGTGAGAACCTTTAAAATCTACTTTTAGCAATTTTGAAATATACATTATTATTAACTATGCTACGTGAAATAAACCCAACACAGAAAGATAAATTAACATTTTTCACATTAAAACTTTTAATAAAATTTTTTAATTTAATATTTAATTAATTTAAGTAATTAAAGTAATCCACTCCCTTCTTTTTAAAGTTCCACACAGGAGAAACTTTACCAATATGCTGTGTACTAGCACATGTCATCTCAAGTCATGACTGACATGACTACTATTAAAAAAGTCATTAAATTCTTCATAACTGACCACCATCATCAGGAGCACAAAAACTGTACGTGTGGTGCCAAATAAGTACCACCCCTCTAAAGATCGTGTTTTCCTAACTTGGTCCTGTCTTAATGTAAGAAGACACAATGCCACATTCCGCAGCATATATGAATCAAATAGTTGCCTCTTTGGTAATAGGCTGAACCATAAGAAACTGCCTGCAAGATTTAACCCACAAAAATGGTAATTTCATCTGGATCAACCTAATATATAAGGGAACAATGATATTTCTGTCCAAATGTCACCGTGTCAGTGAAGCCCTCCTTGACTACCCTATTTAAAATTGCACACACCCTCCACTCTAGCACTTCGTGTCCCCATCCTTGCTCTTTCACTTCCTGATTCCTATCCCCCATCCCTGCTTTATTTATCACTAGTTAACTTATCACAATGCACTTATTTACTTTGTTTATTGTCTTTCTCTCTCTGTCCCTCCCTTCCCACTGGACTTTAAACTCAGTAAGGAACTTTTCTCTTTGTTATTCAGAGATGTATCACGAGCAACTGGAACAATGCTTGGCCCACAGTAGACATTCAATAAATATTTGTTGAATGACTAACAAAATAATGTCTAGAACAGTGATAACCAGTTAACTAGGACATCCTAGTAATGCAAATAAAGAGAGTCACAAGGTAAATTTTTACTTGCATTATTAAGATTGAATATGATACATAGTACAAAAGTATCACTAACTTACCTTTTGCTCTTGTATCTGGGCCTTCACCACTTTGAACTCAGCCGATGGGGGCTTCTGATTAGCCACGAGCTCCTCAGTGTCTCCCATCCAGCTAAGCAGGGATTCCAGGGCATCCTGGAACCTCCCACAGTGCAGCAGGGCCTCCTGCAGCTGGGCTGCTCGCTGAGCAACCTGCAAAGGTCCAGTTGTTTCAACTTACTTGTCTTGTAAAAAATGAAGCCTGCCCACCAGCCACTGCTTTTCATGCTTATTTTCCCATTTGGTCACAAATTCTCTTTTGTTTCCCACTTAAAATTTACCCAAAGCATTGATAGTGGGCAGAATACGAGTGGAAACAAGCCAAACTTTAGCTAGTAAGCCATGAAGATAAGGTTACCATTCCGAACAGTCAATGAAGGATTCAAATATTTTAAGGTTACTGAAAGAAACAATGCATCAGTCATTTTTATGATTATCCCTGGAATTCACTTTTTATTTCCCACTGATGAATATCAGGAATAATGATTTAAAAAGACTAAGATTAAAAGAAACAATTATAGCAGAGAGAATCAGAATTATGTTTTGCTAGGCAAAATAGCTACACAGTATCAAACTAAATTCTGCCAGCTCCAAGCTCTGGAGTCCTTTTCCCCCAAACCAGAACCTTTGTCTTCTAGTAAATGGAATCTCTGTGTCCTACAAAGAGCTATCCTATTGCCCTTCTTACAGATCTTTTCCTTTTGTAATAAAAAAGTAGTTGGCAAGATATTTTAATCACTATAGAATATACTTATACCTGATATTGCATTCCAATTATGTTCAAGAAGTACTACAATATGACTCAGCCTTTAAGGAATGACTGATGTTAAGTTTATGACTTGGCAACTGCTTAAGAATTCAATGCAGGGAAAACAGCAACCACCACCACCACCACCAACAACAACAACAACAACCCATCTACCACCAGATAAGCATGGCATCCCATAAAGATTTTCTGATAATTTATGTCACATGAACTGCTGCCTGCCATTGTGTGTCAGCACTATCTCCCTAAAATACCAGAGCATTATTTCCAGTATTTTCCCTCATGGAAATTTAGAAAAAGGTGGGATCTACATCTTAGAAGAAAAATAATATTTGGAGTTGATGGTCCACAGTAAGGGGCAAAACCCTTAATCCAGGGCTGACAGAGACACATAGCTTCTTTCTCTTGCACAGTGTTGACCTATTATACAGTATGAAATTAGTCTCTGACATTTGCAAATTGGAAGGTTTCGCACAGAAGTGAGATTTTTCAAGTTCTTTTGAAAGTAAGTAGGATATTTGGCAACAGTGAACCTATATCCCTACATGTCAATGATTTAGTGGAGCTAAGGAGCTACTGTACTTTTACAGGGTGCATATGCTCTCTCAACACAGGACCTTGTGTGATGGCCACCTGCCATCATGCCTGCACTGCTATATCTGTGGCCATGTCTCTGTTAAAGTCAAGATAATGGCAGGGACAGGCTCTGTTTCACTCAGCTTGCTTTTTTTCTTTTATAAGCCCTACCTAGTTCTTGTGGGCATCTGAATTTGGGCCATCCAGTTTACAGCAATATACAAAAGTACACATGTTTAGGGAAGTATGGCTACTATAAATAGGATTAATGATCACGATAAAGCTCATGAATAATAATAAAAAAAAAATGACAATGAAGGGGATGAGAAAATTACCTTCTTATTGAGAGTCTTCCACCGTGCATTGACATCATCTAGGTCATGTTCCAAACCCTGAGTGCTGGTGCTTTTAGCAGCACTCTGAATAAGGCCTTGACCTAACCAGTTCACATCTTGCTGTTTAACTTGTAAGGGTTCAATCTCTTCTTTCTGGAATACCTGCAGTTGGAAGAGTGATAATTATAGGAATTATATTACCCAACAACTTACATACTGTTTAATATATAAGCAAATAATATCACAAGCATGTCTTCAGTCATCAGGTAGTAGAAACTACCAATTATTACAGAAGTAAAGATAATTTTTGTTGCCTATTCATAGGTCATAGCTACCTTATGAATAATAGTAAGAAAATAAACTCAATATAAATTCATAGCATAAAAGTAGCATTCAGGAATATTTAAGAATGGTATTTTAAGTGCATTTAATCAGACTACTTATAAAACCAACAAGATATTATATGTGCCCTCTCTTTATTGTTTCACTACCATAGCATGAGAAATTTCCTGTTGTCCCAATTTAACTCTAGCAAAAGATGTGCAGAAAATGCTAAGGAGCAAAATGATAAGATGGACCCAAGATGAGCTTTACTGAGCAAGCAATCCTTATAGGCTCTCCTAAGGATGGCTGGCAATTGAAGCTTGAGACTCAAATTGGAAATGGGGAATCACTGACAAGATGAGGTGAGCCAAGAGGCCAAACACATGGCTCACCAGGGTGGCCAAAATACAGGGACAGGAAAAGGAAAAAGATACAGGCATGTGCTGAAGTGGTACGGATCCCTATACATCTAGCCCCCTCGAATGTCTATCAGGATGCCAATGGGCTTGCAAGAGGCATGGAGACCTCACCCCATGGATCTGATCACACCCATCACCAGCAAAGCAACTCTGGTTCCTCTTCGGTCACTGCCGCCCACTCCTGCATTGCCAGCATCCTTTCCCCCAAGTTCCATCCCATCTAACTATGATGCCCCAGTTTCCCATGACCTGCAAAGGATTTAACATGTTAGATTAAAATGGAAGCAGTAGTTCTTACAGGAGTTCTATGTTCTGGGCCTACCATGGTACCTAGCATGTAAAGTACCCAATAATTATTTGCTGAATTAATATCAGTATAGAAAAATTACATTTATATCATAGGTGGATGACATCAATCCTTTAAAAGATAATACTGGGTGTAGATGCACCAACTATTTCACAGATAATACAAATATTTTTAATATAAGGCTTAGAGGACAATTTGAGAAAAATCAAATATTTTAACTAAGGAAGAAAAGTTTCAGGCAGATATTAAGGTAAAACATGTTTTGGGATTCTGAGTCATTATAAAGGGCACTATATAAATGTATCAATAATTATACAGTTAAACAGAATATATAAAAACATAATATAAGCAAATATTAAAATAGCACTTAAGAAAAAATGACAGACACAGTATGGAAAGTATTTCCAAAAGATGTAGAGCCTGCAGGAGACAAACTCTCCAGACTCGGGCCCATGGGCTTGCACACAGGATATTCCTGTGTTACTTCATGAATGAGTAAATTAAAGAACAGCAAACAAATTAACAATCATTTCCTTCTGAAAGTCCCCTCCTAGCTAAAAGCCCAAGCTGCTTTTTCCATAGAAAATCCATATAGATAATTTCCATACCAGCTAATTGCTTCTACATAACAATACTAAATATTAAAATCAATTACACATAATCAAAGAAATTATACGATCATTCAAATCAGAAAAAACAAGTTTTCATAATTTTTTCAAAAAGGCATAATTCACCAAATAAGTGAATAGAAAGTGGCAGCAAGGTGGTGAAGATAGAATTTAGCATTATGATTCTATTTATTTTCTTGTACCACTTTCTATTTACTACTTTTAGGAACTAATAGCTTTTCATATGTTCACTTACAAAAAAAGTGGGGGGGGTGTAGAAAAACTGCTACATTCTTAATTACAGGAACTTGTATGGTATATAAGTACTCAGGGAAAAGTTTTATTCTCCCTCTCAAATAGTGCTCAGGACAAAAAACCTAATAATGTTGCCACAGTAAATTGTCTTAACTTTTTATCTTGATTTTAAAGAAATTAACTTTAGGGTTGTCTATCAGAGTAGGTCTATGTGAGTCTGTCTAAAGTCCTACAAAAAAATACACTAACGATTAAAAAATAACTACTAAAGAGTATATACTCATAAAATGTAGTTGCTTTCTACAAATAAACTGAAAAATCCTTTACAGGAAAAAAAGGACTTTGCTAAGCTTTGAAATGAGCATACCATTTACTGCATGCCCAAGGAAAGGCATAGCTGACTTGAGCAATTATTTCACAGACTGAGAAAAGGAACTTTTCTTTATTGTCTAAATTCCTTATCGCTCTGTGGTATCAAAATTCCTATAAAGAGAAACTTTCCCTCCTAATCTAACCCATAGCACACAAATACAAAGAGAAGCTGAAAATAAAATAAAATTATCTCTGAGGCAAAGTTTACCAGAAGAGCTTAGTAAAAGTACCAAAATAGCTGAACTTCAATCTGAGTGGGAAGAAAAAAATTACAGCCTTGACAAACAACCTCTACTTATTACAAGGCTGTACCCTTTACTTTCTTACTTCATTCACCACTCACAGAAAGTTAGGAGCTATAATGCCTGCAACACACAGCACAATAACTTTGCTCCTCTCACATGCAGAGCTCCTGAGAGTAAATTTTCAGCACATAAAAAAAGTCCTTAATCTGGGTAGAGTACTTTGCAAACCACAACAATATAATACTGTGTTTGTACCTTTATGACTTAGTCTGTTCAAACTTAATAAATCCAATACAACCGCCTTGAAATGGCAGTGTCTTAAACCACAATTTGTGTAAAAGCCTAACATTAACATAAATTCACTGTGCAGGCATTTTAAATGAAGGGAACAGCCACCATCTGCACAATGAATAGCAAGACCCTAAACAGCTGGGAATAATCATTCTTCTCAAAATGATCCCTAATGAATCTGTTATAATGATCAGCGTATCGATATCTGGCATCCTGCAGGGTGCTAGTCAAACCTTCAAAATAAAAGACTGGATTTGATCATTATTAGAAACACTGGTGACCATTCTGAAACAGAAGCACAAACTTTAGGCATTGCAAAGTTTCACATTCCCATTAACTACCTGAACCAACTGAAAGCCATTGCGTACTGTGTCCAATATTCCTGCCGGGACCCCTGTTTTCCTGGGTGCTGCTTTTTTTCTTACCGGTATGAATTTCAGGGAGCACTTCATATGGATCACCTCCATCTCCTGGGCAGAAAGAGGAGCCTCCACTTCCTCTTTAGATGTTATGTTGGATTCTTCCAAATCATATTGTGCCAATAGTGTCATATTTTCAACTAAACTTGTGCTACCATAATCTACATCACTCTCCCGCAGATTCGTATGAGAGAGATCTAAATCCTGAGGGAAATCCTTCATAAGTTCCCTTCTTTGTGCTGTGACTTTGGATTCTCCTAGTCCATATGTTTTCTCCTCTTCTCCAAGGTTAGAAATATACTCATTTTCTCCTTCTCTTGGCATAATTAATGGGTCACACTTAACAGTGCTCTCTTTCAAATCATTCTGCAGGCAACAATTTTCAACATGGATTTCCCTTTGGCCATTTACACATTTTGTTTCCTCTAGTGGAGAAACATCATGTAAAATCATTTTGGAGCTTTCATTGGGGTGGGCACTCCTACGTGAAAGCAGTGGGATTTTCTGATCGCTAATGGAATCAACAGAAAAAAATGGTCTATATTGCTCTGTTATATGAATATCTTCAGCAGAAGACAAGCTTCTAATTCGTGACTGGTCTCCAGTTAAAATGCCCTGTTTTTCTTCCCTCTCTGCTGGAGGGCTACATAAACCAGAGTCATCCTCCTCCGAAGTTAGAGAATTAGTACCCCATCTACACTTACTAGCCTTGGTAACAGCATCTGACATATCAGTAGGTTCAACAAAAGAGCTTTCACTTTTGTTTGCATAATCCATAAAATTGGCTGGGACAAACATTCGCCATGACCGTCTATGCTCTTTCTTTTCTGCATGAGATTTGGCTTTGGGTAATCCTGTGGTTCGAATGACATCACTATTGAGTTTGAGTGCATCAAAGATCATCTTTTCATCTAGTTTGTTAGCTTCACGACCTCTCAGCTCAAATACACTGGAAGAAGTAAGGGCACCATTAGAGGATAAAGAACTAACATCCAGTGTTCTGTGACTATAGGGTAAAGTCCGATCTGTAAAATGCCTGGAGGATACGCTACCTTTTGAACCAGAGTCTATCTGTTCATTGAGTCTGACAGTATCATAGATCGACCGCTGTGGGACATAACAGTCTTCAATATTTAGGTCTTCCTCTTCCTCACCCTTCCCTACACATGGGGGATTCTGACGTAAACAGTCTGGTCTGCTGAGTGGTTTCCCCATTTTGTAGATAGTTAAAACAGATATTGCAGCTCTTGACACAGAAAATAAGAAATAAGGTAAAGCATCTTTCAAGAAAGTATACTTCTGAACAGCACTATGAAGTGTCTTCGGAATAAAGACAAATGCTGAAATAACATACGTTGTAATTAATATATGAGGTGTTTAAGGTTATCAGCAGTGCATCAGTATAAATGCTACTATCATTTTACCTGGTTGGTTTTAAAATAAAGTGCATCAAGAACAGAGAAAAGAAATCTCCTTCCTCGGCTTCCCCAGCACCCAAAGTTCCCTTTTACACACTCCAAAACACAGAAAAAAACACACACTTAACAGTGGCTCAAACACTCAGAACATTCCATTTTCAGTCCATTTCCCTTTTTAGTCTAATTTTGCATCTGAGATTTCCAGATTAAAATTTCCAAATGAGCAAGCATTTTAACAAGCTGAACGTTAACTTCAGCAGAGCTCTGGTTAACTGTAATCCACTTAAAGATGGTTTGTAAAAGTCCATCTCCTTTATAAATAAACCATGCTTCAGAAATGTAGACAAACACAGGGACCACGTATTGTTCAGATCAAGGCACAGAACAAATCATCGGAGAAAATAAGTTAACTAACGTTGTAAGAAAGTTAAAATTTACTTTTTGGGGGGAGTAGCTATAAATAATCTTGATTCAACAGGCAGTTTTTTCCCCCATATTAAGCTT